ATTTGCTTAAGATTATAAACTTCAAGTTTTAAAAAACAACAACGTCGTGTCAAATGACACACCGTTTAAAATGTCTACATTTAAAGTTCACCAAAATAATGACGTAAAAACTAAATATCATATGACATTAGCATACATATCATTCAATCTAATCACTCTAAAGTACAAATCAATAATTTTTATTGATTAAGGGGCTGGGTGAGTTATTTTTTATTCGGGTGCCCAGGGAAGGTTTGGAGTTGGCTAGGGGCACCGTTCATACTAGAGTCGGTGACGTTTTCACCGAGGCAGGGTTCGAAGCTAGACCATACATGTTTTGGAATCGTTAGGGGTCGAGTCTATAGTAGGGTCGCGGGAGTTTTGTTAACACAGAGGGATGTTTCGAAGTTGATACATCCATGTTTTAGAATTGATAGGTAGAGAGTCCATACTAGGGTCGGTGAAGTTTTCACCGAGGCAGGTTACAAAGCTGGGACATGCATGTTTAGGAATTGTTGGCAGTCGCGTTCATACTAGGGTCGGGGAGTTTTGCTAACACTGAGGCAGGTTGTAAAGTTGGTACAGGCATCCTTGGAATTGTTAGGGGCCGTGTTCATACTAGGGTCGGTGAAGGTTGGTTTTGAACTCGGAACATGTATGTTTTGGAATCGGTAGGGCTAGAGTTCATACTAGTGTCGGTGAAGGTTGGTTTTGAACTCGGAACATGCATGTTTTGGAATCGGTAGGTGTAGAGTCCATACTAGGGTCAGGGGAGTTTTTGTTAACACCGAGGTAGGTTGCAAAGTTGGTACATGCATGTTTAGGAATTGTTGGTAGCCGAGTTCATACTAGTGTCGGTGAAGGTTGGTTTTGAACTCGGAACATGCATGTTTAGAAATTGTTGGTAACCGAGTTCATACTAGGGACGGGGGTGTTTTAACCGAGGCAGGTTACAAAGTTCGTACATGCATCATTGGAATTGTTAGGGAGAGTTAAACTAAGGTCGGTGAAGTTTTCACCGAGGCAGGTTACAAAGTTGGTACATGGATGTTTAGGAATTGTTGGCAGTCGAGTTCATACTAGGGTCGGGGAATTTTGTTAGCACTGAGGCAGGTTGGAAAGTTGGTACATGCATGATTGGGAATCGTTGGTAGCCGAGTTCATACTAGTGTCGGTGAAGGTTGGTTTTGAACTCGGAACATGCATGTTTTGGAATTGTTGGTAGCCGAGTTCATACTAGTGTCGGTGAAGGTTGGTTTTGAACTCGGAACATGCATGTTTTGGACTCGGTAGGTATAGAGTCCATACTAGGGTCGGTGAAGTTTTCACCGAGGGTGATTTCAAAGTTAGTACATGCATGTTTTGGAAGTGTTAGGGGCCGAGTCTATACTACGGTGGGATGGTTTTTGTTTTCATCGAGGCCGGTTTCAAAGTTGTTACAGGCATGTTTTGGAATCGATTGGTGTAAAGTTTAAACTAGCGTCGGGGGGCGTATGGGTTTCACCGATGCGTGTTTCAAAGTTGGTACAGGGATGTTTTTGAAGTGACGAGGGAAGAGTTTAAACTAGCGTTGGGGGAGTTTGGGTTTCACCGAGTTGTGTTTCAAAGTTGGTACAGGGATGTTTTTGAAGTGTTAGAGGCCGAGTCTATACTAGAGTGGGAAGGATTTTGTTTTCACCGAGGCAGGTTTCAAACGAGGACCATCCCTGTTTCGGAGTTGATCGGGGTAGAGTTTACACTAGAGTGGGACGGTCTTTTTGTTTTCAACAAGACAGGTTTCAAAATTGGTACATGGATGTTTGGTACAGGACTGTTTTGGAATCGGTGAGGCAAAGTTAAACTAGGGTCAGGGGAGTTTTCAACGAGGTTGGTTTCGAAATTGGGGCATGGATGTTTCGGAGTTGGATGGGAACGTTGTCACTTGTGACAGTAAACGAAGGGGGATAAATGTTTGTCTGTTACTTTGTCCTTTGTCTGTCCAAGGGAATAGTGTGGGTAGTGGTATGGTGTGTTTATCAAGCGGGTGTTTAGGGATAGGGCGAGGGCGGCGGACAAAGTTGTCGATGTAGGTAGGGTGCAAGAGATATTCAACGAGGAGTGGCGTCTACAACTTACATAGCCCAGTCTGTTGGAGTAGTGTCTAGGGGTTGTGATATTAGTTGAATAAATATTTGTCTTTAGGATTGTCATACAGCCTTTGTCTCTTAAATGGAATAGAATGGGTAGTGGTACGGTCTGTGTATCTAGCGGTTGGTATTGAGGTTAGTGTGATGACGCAAGGTTGGATGGGAGAAGGGGAAAGGGGTTGCGGACAAAGGGAAGGGGAAGGGCGAATAGTGATAAAAATAACTCACCCAGCCCCTTAATCAATAAAAATTATTGATTTGTACTTTAGAGTGATTAGATTGAATGATATGTATGCTAATGTCATATGATATTTAGTTTTTACTTCATTATTTTGGTGAACTTTAAATGTAGACATTTTAAACGGTGTGTCATTTGACACGACGTTGTTGTTTTTTAAAACTTGAAGTTTATAATCTTAAGCAAATTTTTACTAAGGTGATCAAAAATTAAGATGACAATGTAAGGTATAGAAAAAGAAAATACATTGAGTGGTAAAAATAAAAACTTGTCATTAGACGTAGTGTATTATGTATAAGTAAACTTTCTTAAAAATTAACGAAGTTCAAGTCAAAAAGAAGTTTGATGAAAACTGTAATACTAAAGCGAACATGGGGAGGTAATCTGCTGCAAGACTAAGATATATATTCGTCTTCCTTCTAGGTTCATTGCCTTTTTTGGTTGAGGTTAAACATCGCCATGTTTTCAAATATCGCGATGTACGTCACGTTCTCTCCCCTCTTACCTAGTAATCGCTTCCTCTACCCATTGTTTACAACACGCTTACAAAGAAAAAATATCCCACCCTCTACTTGAGACATAAAATACAAAAGTGTATTGTGCCTTGTCGTCACAGGAAACAAAAACGGTAGCGTCTAATGTTGTTAACCCTTGTCTTCCTAAATTATTTTTTAACTTGTTAAAGAAATTGACTGTTTAGTTAAGGAATCTGACGCGAATTTTTTTTTTTTCACAAGGGACGATACTCGTGTGTGTAGACAAGTCTGTTCTAATTTTAGAACAGTTGTCTTTCCTCTCGTTTCTCTATTAGGGAAGCCGTAAGGGGAAGACACGCGACACGTCTTTTAAAATGTAAACAACCGTGCACGGGGTACACTTAAAATAAACCCCGCTGCGAAAATGACAATGGCATGGTGACACTTTTTGGAAAACACGCTTTCATGTAAATAAAATAAGAGTCGCTTTTGTTGTCGCCATGATAATGTATACCTATAAGTTCTCTCCGCCATTACCGACCTAGTATGAATTTCGCGCGCGCGCGCATGTGTGTGTGTGTGTGTGTGTGTGTGTTTGTGTGTGTGTGTGTATGTATATCTCAAAAAAGCGTATCATGTCAACACCTGGGCAACAAGTCATAGTCAAAAAGGCCTAATTCATTACAGATCTATAGGAAATCCCTCTTTACATGTACTTACGTTAGGGGGAGTAAACTCATTTGAATAAAAAAAAACGTATTTAAATATATAGAGTTATAGAACCTTAACCCCGCATACCTACGTACCAACGCATCAAGTCGCCCTGTCGCCCATTAAAAAACACGAACCTACCGAGACTTCGTTTCGTCTCAAAACCTGACTTAACGGTGGTTGAAAGAAAATTCCGACCCTTAAATATATTTTTGTTTTCGCTGACCCTCGCTATAAGCGAATAGTTACAACCATTAATCTTTCATACATAGCAAGGGACGATTCGCAGGACATGTGGAAACAAAATTTTTTAATTTGATCAAAGAATGACCGGGCGTACGATATGTGAACATAGTTCATGTACAGCTGAAGTCTAATGAAAAAAGCCGAGAGCCATGACTAATTACAGCACCAGCTGTCGCCACACTTAACGCGGAGAGGGACTTAATGGTTTCGATTAATTACCTGTTGTGATCGCTTCAGTGAGTCCGCTATTAAGCAACCACGGGGAGCGCCGGGGAGGCTCACGGGCGGATCGATAAGTACAAGCTGTCGCTAATAAGTAACAGCTGTGGTTAAATGGATGTTATACACAATGACACTTTCTAGTACACGCTAGTGTTAGTCTTTTATTTCAAACGGCGTACAACAAAGAAATTAAAAGCAAACTAATTAAAATGAATTTCAAACAAATAAATTATACAAAGTAATTAAATTAAACAACAAGTAAACAACAATTAAAAATAAAATTTAAAAATAATAATTTAAAAAAATTTAAAAAATTTAAAAAAATTAAAATCAAATTACGTAACTCGTTAATAATAATTAAACTAATTATAAAATTAAATTAAATTAAAAATAAACAAAATAAAAATAATTAAAAAGTAAACAAATAATCAAATTACGTAACTCGTTAATAAAAATTACACAATATAAACAAAGTAATTAAATTAAACAACAAGTAAACAAACAAATTAAACAAAATAAAAAATACAATCAAAGTAATTAAATTACGTAACTCGATAATAAAAATTAATTAAAATTTTAAAAATTCATTAAAACTCATTAAAAAACGCATTAAAATTACGTAACTAGGTCAATGATTACGTCACAAGGTCACTGATTACGTCAAAAGGTCAATGATTACGTCACAAGGTCACCAAAAGGTGACTCACCCTTCACTGCTCCGCCAACCCCAGTTGGCGTAGTATTTTACTATATGTCGTTGTCCCGCCTGCGCATCCTGCTCACCCACCCTGCGGCAGCTGGCGTAGTATTTTACTATATGTCTTTGCGGCAGGCTGCGGCAGGCTGCGCATCCTGCTCCGAGTATTTTACTATATGTCATTGTCCCGCCTGCGCATCCTGCTCCGCCAAAAAATCGCTCCAAAAGCGACCTAATATACTACTTAAGTGCTCATGATAAAATTAATGATTAATGCAATCAATTCGAAAATCTTTAATCTACAGCTTTTTTACAATGCAAATCGCTTGTAAAACGAAATCAGTGTTGAAAAAAGATAAAAATGTCAGATGTTTTGTATCGCCCAAATGCTTCGAGACGTATTACTCCGCCGGTTACAGCGTTATGTGCATCCCATTCGGCAGAAACAAAGTCACTTTATCCTCGTTTCCCACCAATACTACCACCGCCTCCCGCTGCTCATTTGCCACCAACACTCCCTACAAGACCACCATCAGCGCTCCCATCTGGTACCAACATGGAGCATCCATCCAAGTCCCTGAGTCTCGTCTCAAACGTCTCACGGCAACGGCAGACGAATGAACAAAACGTCTCACGGCAACGGCAGACGAATGAACAAAACGTCTCACGGCAACGGCAGACGAATGAACACCCATCTCTTTTTTTCTTCCGAACTTCTGGAACCTTAAAAATAAAAGTTACGCCCAACGCCCCATCACTGCCGGCATCTCCACCCCCACTTCCTGCTCCACCATCTTTTATGATCAAGCAGCCTGAATCAACCCCCTTGTATGAATCACACAACACAACAAAAGACAAAGAAACTTTGGAGACCCTGATTGCAACGACAGATGATACAAAGAACGTATCGAAAACTTTAGAATCTGAAGGAAATTCGATAATGAAGCAATTACCAGCGGCGGATGAAAAAAACTATAAAAACCATCTCATCAAAGTACCTACAAAAGCCCAAAACGGGGAATGTGTCCACCAACATTCATTGACGACTGGAGGACAAGAACTTGTACAGAACCGCTCCAAAATTGGGTGGATTTTCAAGAAAAAGGTTTGATACATAGATCTTCATTTTAGCTATTTAAGTATTTATTAAATACGCATACACATCTACTTTTAGCCGTGGTGAAAAAAGAAGCATAAGTATATTAAATGTGATGGAAAAAAAATTCTTTCGCACTTCGTCTTTTAAATAATATTTTTAAATTGAAGAAACCATTTGCGATTTTCTATAAAGCTTAATATTTGAAAGGTCACTAAAATTAAAAATCAGTTTAGATTTGTAATAAAAAATAAATAAATAAAATGAAAAAAAAAAACAATAACATAATAAAGTCGATTGCAATAAGATAGCTTATAAGCTATGCTGTATAGCTCGTTTAAAAGGAATAATTTTTGAACTTTTAAATTCGATTGACTGTACATATTTTAAATCACTTCAAGCTTTTTATGTAAGATATTGTTTTAAAAAATGCCCACTAACTGTTATTATTCACAGTAAAATAGTTTAACTTGGTTTAAAAAAATATTTTTTCTAAAAGCCTACCTTTTCTGGGGAATAGAGATTATTTTGCAAAAAATTACTTACTAGACATCAGTCGCGAGTAAAAATGTATGTAAAAATCAAGTACTTAGATTAGTACAATGTTATAATTATAACAATTTTATTATTTTTCCAGTCATCTAGTTTAGATGAAAAAGTGAATAAGAAGTTTCTTCCGCCAGAAATTGACTCTATTAGAAATAAATCAATGACTTTTGCTGACATTATCACGAATGCACTGATGCTTTACAGGATGAATAAAACACGTAAGATCGTATTGTTATCGATACTGATGCCAAAAGTTAGTTACGGCTTTTTAGCTTTTGTTACAAATACTGGCATGGCTCTATATTCTCCCAGTTACTTGATTAGCTGCTATTTAGCGCACATAAAAAGGCGAATAACCAAATGCAGTGTGATATAACGGGAACAGGGCATTCCCCCCCTGTCAATTACCCCCCGGATATCCCCCCCCCCCCCCGACATTACCCCCCAGAGTAACTACCCCCCTGTCAATTACCCCCCCCCCCGTCAATTACCCCCCCCCCCCCCGCCCAGTAGGACATTACCCCCCCCCCCCCGGACAGGGTTAGAGTTAGGGCTAGGTTTAGGGTTAGGTTTAGGGCTAGGGCTAGGGCTAGGGCTAGGGTTAGGGTTAGGGTTAGGGTTAGGGTTAGGGTAAGGGTAAGGGTAAGGGTAAGGGTAAGGGTAAGGGTAAGGGTAAGGGTAAGGGTAAGGGTAAGGGTAAGGGTAAGGGTAAGGGTAAGGGTAAGGGTTAGGGCTAGGATTAGGATTAGGATTAGGATTAGGATTAGGATTAGGGTTAGGGTTAGGGCTAGGGTTAGGGTTAGGGTTAGGTTTTTGGGCTAGGGCTAGGGTTAAGATTAGGGTTAGGGCTAGGGTTAGAGCTAGTGTTAGGGTTAGGGTTGTGTCTAGCTTTGGTTTTGGTTTTGTGTGAAGTTTTAGGCTAAGGTGGATGCTTAGGTTTTGGTCTTTTTCTTAAGGTTTGGATTAAAGTAGTATATAGGTATAAAATTCTAGTTAGAGTTAGGATTTTAACTTGAGAGGGGGGTGGGGGTAATTCCCCGGGGAGGGGGGGGGGGTAATTGACAGGGGGGGGGGTAATTGACAGGGGGGGGGATAATTGCTCCGGGGGGGGAATACGGGGGGAAATGTCCGGGGGGGAAATATCCAGGGGGGTAATGTCCTGTAGCCGATATAACATAGCCTACCTTCTATACCAACTCACTTTACTTTTATCATAATATAACAAAATGATAAACTATCCCTTACCCATTTTTGAGCACGAAATCGTAGCAAAAACTGTGTTTTCTGAGGAGAGTGTCGAGGGTTTTTTTTTTCTAATAAAAAAACTTGAAGCAAACTTTAAAATATATCTGCCAGCTTCCATAAAGCCCCAAGTTGCTATACAATCACATCTACAAAAAGCCACAAGGTGTACCCGATGTTATCGGAGTTTCGGATTAAGATGCGTTAGATACCATTGCATTAGGTATGTACTTTATACTACTATATATATATATATATATATATATATATATATATATATATATATATATATATGCGCGCGCGTGTGTGTGTGTGTGTGTGTAACCAGTGTAGTTACAAAAACAACGAATAGTGTCTGTCAACAAGCACAAGTTCAAGGCCAGTACTGAACTGAGTTATTTATAGTTATTTTGAAACTGTTGTGACGCAGCTGATGTGAATAAAATAGAATTTGACTTGTAAACTTAAAGACAAATGGACAAGCTATTAATAGAGGCACCGAAATATAATAGTTTGACCTTGATAGACATTGTTGACAATACCGGATGTACATCTGGGTGTGACGGGGTATAAGCAGCGATATTTTTGGGTGATGTGAGCTGAGAGAGACAGAAGATGTGAGAGACAGAAGATGTGAGAGACAGAAGATGTGAGAGACAGAAGATGTGAGAGACAGAAGATGTGAGAGACAGAAGATGTTAGAGACAGAAGATGTGAGAGACAGAAGATGTGAGAGACAGAAGATGTTAGAGACAGAAGATGTGAGAGACAGAAGATGTGAGAGACAGAAGATGTGAGAGACAGAAGATGTGAGAGACAGAAGATGTGAGAGACAGACGATGTGAGAGACAGAAGATGTGAGAGACAGAAGATGTGAGAGACAGAAGATGTGAGAGACAGAACATGTGAGAGATAGAAGATGAGAGAGACAGAAGATGTGAGAGACAGAAGATGTGAGAGACAGAAGATGTGAGAGACAGAAGATGTGAGAGACAGAAGATGTGAGAGACAGAAGATGTGAGAGACAGAAGATGTGAGAGACAGAAGATGCGAGAGAGAGAAGATGCGAGAGACAGAAGATGTGAGAGACAGAAGATGTGAGAGACAGAAGATGTGAGAGACAGAAGATGTGAGAGACAGAAGAAGTGAGAGACAGAAGATGTGAGAGACAGAAGATGTGAGAGACAGAAGATGTGAGAGACAGAAGATGTGAGAGACAGAAGATGTGTGAGACAGAAAATGAGAGAGACAGAAGATGTGAGAGACAGAAGATGTGAGAGACAGAAGATGTGAGAGACAGAAGATGTGAGAGACAGAAGAAGTGAGAGACAGAAGATGTGAGAGACAGAAGATGTGAGAGACAGAAGAAGTGAGAGACAGAAGATGTGAGAGACAGAAGATGTGAGAGAGAGAAGATGCGAGAGACAAAGGATGTGAGAGACAGAAGATGTGAGAGACAGAAGATGTGAGAGACCGAAGATGTGAGGGACAGAAGATGAGAGAGACAGAAGATGTGATTGACAGAAGATGAGAGCTGAACGAGACAGAAGATGTGAGAGACAGAAGAAGTGAGAGACAAGATGTGAGAGACAGAAGATGTGAGAGACAGAAGATGTGAGAGAGAGAAGATGCGAGAGACAAAGGATGTGAGAGACAGAAGATGTGAGAGACAGAAGATGTGAGAGATAGAAGATGTGAGAGAAGATGTGAGAGACAGAAGATGAGAGAGACAGAAGATGTGAGAGACAGAAGATGTGAGAGATAGAAGATGTGAGAGAAGATGTGAGAGACAGAAGATGAGAGCTGAACGAGACAGAAGATGTGAGAGACAGAAGATGTGAGAGACAGAAGATGTGAGAGACAGAAGATGTGAGAGACAGAAGATGTGAGAGACAGAAAATGAGAGAGACAGAAGATGCGAGAAACAGAAGATGTGAGAGACAGAAAATGAGAGAGACAGAAGATGTGAGAGACAGAAGATGAGAGAGACAGAAGATGTGAGAGACAGAAGATGTGAGAGACAGAAGATGTGAGAGACAGAAGATGAGAGAGACAGAAGATGAGAGAGACAGAAGATGTGAGAAACAGAAGATGAGAGAGACAGAAGATGTGAGAGACAGAAGATGTGAGAGACAGACGATGTGAGAGGCAGTAGATGAGAGAGACAGAAGACGTGAGAGACAGAAGATGTGAGAGACAGACGATGTGAGAGGCAGTAGATGAGAGAGACAGAAGATGTGAGCTGAGCGAGACAGAAGATGTTGAGAGCGAGGCAGAAGATGTTGAGAGACAGAAGAAAACGAAGATGGAACGATCGGGCGCTGGAATGAAGAGTGACATAGAATGGACTGAATGCAGAGAGGATTGTTAGAGTGAGATGCGGAGAGATAGGCCCGAACTCATATCTGGCCTCGAGTTATCAAGTTTTTAAATTTCTTATTTACGCCCAACGAATATTATGAATACTAGTGTTCCTTCTTATTTGGCAAGTTGGTCAGGGACCATGAATCAAGGAAACGTGATACCTGTAATGGTTTCCCGCGGTTTTTTGTTGTTGTTGTTGTTTTTTGCATGTATACTATTAATTTGGTATTAACTCCTTTTTATAGTTTAGTCATCCGTCAGGATGCTTAATTTTTATAATTCTTAAGAGAAGAATTTTTAGTTTTAATTCGCTTAGTAAAAAAAAAACACTATATAATTAGTTTTATCGGCACCCGATTCGACTATTTAAAGGAGAGAATAAGCCATAGAAGTGGTTTAAAGATTTGCCCATTTTTCATACTACAACTTATGAAGGTTTTTTTCTCTCTACGCAACAATGTGTTTTAGTTACTGTAGAACAATAACTGTTGCAATCGATTAGTTTTTTTGTTTTTACAAAACCACTATTCTATCAAGGTGCAAAAAAATAGAAATTTGTGTCGGCTTTGTCCCCCCTCCCCCTCCCTAAACGGCCTACGTTATGCGCCAACCCAAAAACGTGATAGGTAATAATATAAAGAGCTCATAACTGAATTATATACAGTCGAAATAAAGAATCTGGACTGCTACTTGGCATTATAGACTTATTTAATTGTTTTCTACATCAATTGTGTGACACCAAAATAAAAAGGCAAAGTGACTGTAAAAGACAGATTTTCTTCCAGGCATCTCTATCGCCCCCTGGAAGAAACACTGGTTAAAAAGCGCCCCGACCTTTTAAATTGAGGGAGGTGGGGGGCGCATTTTCACCAACGCGCAAGATAAGGCGCAAAATTGATAGTTCGTCCTGGGCACCTACATAGATCGTTACGTCTTTGTATGTAGTTAATGTATATAGTTAATGTAATATAATCAAAGTTATCAATTATTACGTGTTTTTTATTAATGGCGATTTCACATTTTTGCGCCCCCTATGGACAGCGCCCTAGGCGACCACCTATTCTATTCTTTTTAAAAAAACAAATATTAAAAATAAAGAAAACGTATTTCTATAGTCCTGGAAGTGTCATTTCGTACTGCTATTTTAGAATGTACGAGAAAATTTAAAGGGAGATATCTCACGATTTATTTTCTATCGTAAACAACAATTTCACAATGAAAAACCCCTAACTTTTTGCAGCCTAAGTTATAAACCAACTATATAATATATAATATATTATTATACTTAGCAAGGAATCGTTTTTACTTGCTCGTATATACTTAGTATAGAGAAAGTATTGTAATCGTGCAAAAAAAAAATGAGATTTTTGCAAATCTCAACGTTTTACACCTCTCTGAGGCGGAAAAACAAAGATTTGCAATCTTGTCTGTGTGTATGTGTGTGTGTCTGTGTGTCTGTAAACAAGATAACTTGAGTACAGTTACAGCTATGTTGATGAAATTTCATATATAAGTATTATATCACATTTGTCTATCAACTTTTTAGAGATTTCAAATAACCGGAAGTGGAACTTTTTCTACTTTGAATTTTGCAAAAGCCTATAACTTGAGTATTATTTTAGATAAATAAATGAAATTTCACATGTAAGTAAAAAATGTAATTATCTGGCTTCTATCAAATTTTGAGTAATTTCCGTTGACCGGAAGAAGTAATTTACGCTATTATACACATTTTGTTTGGCTTTCTCTTGGTGCGCAATTCTTTTTTCTACGATATTCTATTCTATTGTAAAAATTTTAAGTAATTAAAAATCATGTCTACTACATCCAGAGTTGCCATCGCACGTAGTGTTATATAAGAATATTCGAGAAAGTTTAGGGGAGATCACTCCCGGTTTATTTATATAATTTCGCATTTGTATTCGTGCTAAAACTGCATTCGAGCGCTCTGTGATTCGAGAATCTGTGATTCTTGGGTACGCCCTGCTATCTATTTTATTTACACTGATTTCCGCTTTATGTAATACACATTTTTAGCGTGCACATTGGTATTGATAAATGTGACGAAAACATGAATTAAAAATAAATTGTTACAAATTATTTTCATTGGGTAGTATTAAACAAAAATGTATTACTTTCTTTAGTACTAGCCGCATCCTACTGCTAAAACTTTGCCCCTTGACAATACGTTTACCCTATTTTTATGTAAATAAATAATAAATAAATGATGCCACTGTAATGTTGTTTTTTCCCTCCGTTCAATTGCAGATGTAGGCAGTCGTTTTGTGAAAAATGTATACCTAAGAACGTCTATGACATTATTGAACAAGAGGAGTCTGTTTCGTCTACTACGCGGGTACTATGTTTTGTTACGTAACCTTTTTTGAACTTCATACACTATCTGTATGTTTAAGTAAGGCGCAAATAGTTAAACTTAGCAGTACAAACGTGATTGTTTGGCTTTTTCTTTAATTTAATTATTTTGTAATACATTTTCCAAGACAAGGTGTTTTATTAGTAAATGACAAAAGTTGCGCGATAAGTGCTCCAAAATTTTTAAATCATACACTTCGCATAATTTCGCATAATATTTTTATAAAGTAGGAGGTCAATTTTTTTAAAGTTGAACATACACGTTATTGTTAATGTTAAGGTAGGGGGTCATTCTTAAGAAATGGCATTGGTGTCATTCTTAATGACAGGAATACTGGTTACTCTTTATGCCAGGTTAAGGGTCATTTTTAATGTCAGGGTTATTAGTCATTTTAATGCGTCATTTCCAGCTCAATCTTAATGCCATGGCTAGTGGTTATCTTCGATGTGTTATTAGCGCGTCATACTTATTTTTAGACATATGGGTTACTTTTAACGTCGAAGACTATTAATGCAAAGACTTTCAATTAGACATTATATATATATATATATATATATATATATATATATATATATATATATATATATATATATATATATATATATATATATATATATATATATATATATATATATTATAACCAAAGATAGCAAAAACAGTTTATGATTGCAACGGATGTATGAAATGTGCAAAGAAATTTTTAATTTTTTTTTAAAAAAAGCTATTTAATGTATAATTAGATCTGTGATAGCTGCTGCAAAGATATTGCCAGCGAGTCTTCTAGGGGATTAACTCGCGGTTTGTGGTCAGAATTTCTTCAATTGAGAGACAACTTTAGGAAAAGTAAAGGACTAGAGATTACACCTGTACACGTGAACAAACAAGCCGAGGTCCAGAACATGTAAGTATCAGGTACAATTCAAAAAGTTATTGCTGCCATTCGCTTTTATCGTACCTATTAGCTTTTATAACCAGTTTTATTTATTTATTTATCAACTATAGGCTGGATATGGTCCCAAGTTTAAAGAATTTGTTGTACAGATTTTTAACAGAACTTGAGGAACAGCTCGAAAAGCAGACAAGACACACTTTTTTAGCCAATTACTTGCATCTAGAAAACACTTCTCCTAAACAGGTCACTTGTTCTCCTCTATTATTATTCCCTGTTATATTATATTAAAAAAATAAAAGTATCTAATCATGTTATACAACATTTCGCTTGATTAGATTTTAAAACTTTGTGTTAGTTATCCAAGAAGAACAAGGAGTGTAAAGCGTGCAAACGTCAGCTACGCATGTTGTCCGATATTCGCGACTGCTGTCTCTGCCAACAGACGTTCTGTATGTCATGCACATATAAAACTCTGCAAGTTTATCTTCCGTCTGAAACAAACTTGAACGACCAGTTGGACATCAGTCAAATCAAAATTCATGTCATTGTAAACGAACAGGTAATTAACTGTTATTTTTTTTTACCTTGATAAAAGTATTCTGTTCATTATTCATAAGAAATATTGCTTTTCAAAGTCGTATTATAAAGACATTACTTAATACTGGCTCTATCAGTATATACAACTTTAAACTAACTCTAAACCGTACCCTAACCAACCACAACAACATCTACAACCAGTAACACAAACACCAACATTGAACATGGTTATGGAATGAACAGAATCAACATACACCCTAACCCTTAGGCTAACTATCTCCACAATTTCAACCTGAAATATAAAATACTTCATCTGACTCAAATGTCTCTGTCATAAAAGGGAAAGGAAAATGATATCTTTAAAAAATCTGTACTCGTTAAAACGCAATGTGCTTCACTACACGTTGAAAGATATTTGTGCCAAAGCTAGGAAAGAATTAAAAAGCTAAAAATCAATGGGTTCGGACAAAGTATTAAATTACTTTCTTTTCTCTAAGCCAAATCAATATCTACACATCAACCTAAATGAAAATCTAAACCTCTGTACCGGAACTGGAAATCTATCTGAAACCTAAATGTAACAGGAAACGAAATCGAACCAAAAATGAAACTATATCTAGAACCGCCATTTTAATAAAACCAGAAACTATATTTTAACCGGAAACGAAATTTTACAGGAAACTGAACTTCATCCGGAATCCAGAACTTTAACTAAAATCTAAATCTTAATAACCTATTTCAGAACAACTTTTCGTCTTCAAATAAAATTTAATTTATACATTTAGTACAGCTAACATATTACTTTCAACGTAAGTCAGTAACTTTAAGTTCTCGATATACGCTTAAGATACTGATCTAAAAGCCCAGAAAAATATGTGACGGACGGAGAGAGAGAAGTGCGCACATGGGCTTTTATATATTAGGATAAACGATGTTTCATTATCAGATACATTTCCACTTCAACTGAGCATCTTTATTTTAAGATTTTAAAAAACTAAAAGAAATATTAATTATGGCTATAAAAATAATATTTTTAAGCTGTTTTACAGTGTGATTAATATTGCCCCGATATTTATTTTATTGAAGAAATATTTCTATTGAGTCAGGATGAGATCAACGCCATTGAAGCGTCTGAGGTCTATCGAGTGTGCGCACAGTGTGAAGGTGAAGTGGTGAGAAGTATAGACATTATGAACTTCAACCTCAAGCTCACAGAATTAGAGAGGGAAATGTTCGATCTACAGCGGCAAATTGAACACGCTCTATCTTATGTGAGAAACGTTTATATCAAGCAGATATATTAGATTGGTTTGCGTATTTCTTTTCTAGAAATTATTTTTACTTTCTACACCTAGAATCTAGATAGATAAATCCCTTGTATTCTGGAATTAGATGATTTTTGAAGCTTAAAAGCAAAGATTTATATAAAATATTTAGGACAAAAATAGTTTAATAGAGAAACTCAATAATGTATCGTGTTTTTATAATTGTTTTTATTTTAATCTAATTAATTTTGGTTTGACCTAGATTCTAGATCTATAACTTTTACTTCCTTCGGCAGCTGATCAGTAGATCTAGAGAAATTTATGGTATACTCAAACTCAAATTAGAAGAACAGTTGAAAATTGATAATAGTGTTGGAACCTAATAAAAATAGCAAACGGGCGTATCGTTAAAGCTATAGCCGACAGAAAATTAGCTTTATAATGCGTTAAACTTTTGTACGGGCAACAAAGTCTTCGATGGAAGCCGCAATTATTGTTATAAAAGTAAATAAATCATGTGACGTCACTATAAGTAAAGTCATTGTTCTGAACTTTTATAATTAATGTGGTTAATCTACCAATGAATATATCAATAAATTAATTAACGTTTTTAAATTAATTTGTGATTAACAGTTTGGTTAAAAAGAACATTGTTTCCAACCTAATTACGTATTGTACAGCTTTATAAAAAAAAAAATATATATATATATATACAAACAGCAATACAGTAGGAAATATTAATGTTTTTGTAGCACAATCCCCTAATTTTGTACATAGTGGTACGTAAAATTGTGTGTTAAAAGTTGAATACAAGCTATCACAGTGAAAAAAAAGTAGTAATGTATAGATTTTTAAAAATCTCTTTTGGGGAAAAAGTAATAGAGGTTTAAAAATGCGTTGTTTTTTACACCTTTTTTGTGGTTTCCATGGCAACCAGAACTGCTATAGGTGGCTACATATTATTTTTGTCTATATGTTAACAGCTAATAACATAAATTTATTAAAAAAAAAAAGGTAAAAAAAAAAGCTTTTTTACAAGCTTTTATTTAACACACTTCTTCGTCAGTCTGTTGTTAGTCTAGATCAAAACGGCCAAGCGAAATGGCAGGCACTTCTAACTGACAGATACGGTTCGTAGTTGGTACGTGGGTCAAAACATAAAGACAATGCGTCATGACATTCAATTTGACTTAATTGGTCGCTTAGTTAATTTTTTATGAATTAATTAAAATGTTGTCCAAATTAGTAGGCTGTTTCATCAAACTATTCCGCGCTATTATATATGCATCATCACGTTCAATAGGGCGTCATCACGTTCAATGGTTTTTTTTACAACTCTATTGTAAATAAAACATGTAAAGTACTAAAAAAAATAGCGGGGGTTTTCCGTTTTCCGTTGGACTGTGAAAGTTTTTAGCGCAATTTCCATTCTGGAGAATTGCGTTTATTAACCCGTCATTTCTGGATGTATGAATGTATGAATGAATGGATGGATGGATGGATGTGTGTCCGCAGCTTTAAGTCGTATCTCCTCCTCAACGAAGCAATATCGATGACTAGTTCTAAAAGCAATTATGTTAAGCAAGTTACGGGGATGAACATAGGCTATAAAAATTCCGGGTTTCTTTCATGGATTTCCCGGAAAAGCCAAAAAAAACCTCGAAAAAAAAGCAGTTTTTGGCAACCAGACCACTTAGTGACTTGAAACATGTACCAATCGATTCCTGCCATAATTTAGAACAATATTGCCGAAGAAAGTTTTCAAAAATATCCTTTCGTTCAGTCACAAAAAAAAATTTGAATTAATTAAAATTTGGACCGAATTAGTAGGCATTTTTTCCAACCACACCACACGCGTCATCACGTTCAATAGCTGCGCCATCGCGTTCCATGGCTGCGCCATCACGTTCAGTAGGCGCGCAATGGTTTTTAGTCATGTAACTCTATTGTAAATAAAACATGTAAAATACTGAAAAAAAAAATTAATAAAAAACGTTTTAATAACTAACTAATGGTTTTACTAACCCTGCTCTTGATTTACGCTACGACAGAGCTATTTTTAGATAACATAAGGAAATTGCGCTAAAATTGTCACTAGACTTTTTAATTAACTTGTTTATTTTGCTTGTGCTTTCTCTAGAGCGTTCCCAACAGACAGGCGAACAGAACAGCGAAACTAGTATAAATATTCTGTTTATATTTACGTTTATTTATATTTATGCTTGTGTTTGTACTTATGGTTGGTTGATGTTAGGGTTAAGTTTAGAGTTTTAGTGTTATGATATAGATTCTCAAACGTCAATATTTGCATTTAGACATTGAATGGAAATTACATATATATATACCCAAGACCCGGCAGCGTCTCTTATGTGATTCTTAATAAATACACACGTCACGGTCATTTATAGATAGGTCTTTTACAAAATTTCAGTCAGGACCTGGCCGGACGGCTAGCAACCTTAATAATGACAAATCTCTTAAACTTAATAACACATTTTCTCCGTAGGACCCATCTTACTATCGTATGCAAAGATCATTATCTGCAGCCAATGTCAGCAGCGTGGGAGACAGCTATGATATGGTAAACTATCTGTCGTATCTGTAATACTACTATTACTAACCTGAACAGCATTGAAAATGCTAATTGATAATAATAAGTAAATATAATGCTTTGTCACTGACAGAAGACCTCTAGAAATGACATCCCTCATGTTCGTTAGCTAGTGACACATATGTATTTGTCAGTATTTATTCTTTAGCTGAATTCTGACACCTTCCAATAGATGGGGAAAAACGCTTACCAATAGGTACATTAAATCTTATGGTATAAACAAGTTCTATCAGTCAACATAATGAAAAACTTGACTTTGGCAGCTTTTGTTAATTTTATGTTGCACATTTAATGTTGCCTGTGCACAATATGTGTATTTTATTGCTTTAAAAATCTTGGTATGCATTTCAAATGATTATTTGTATTTAGACAGGGAATGTCAGGCTAGCAAATCGACTGTACGAGCGTTACACGAGAGCTTATGATAACCTAACGCATATGTCGCCACTAACTAACGGTCAGAAGATATTACATAAACATATAAAGCAGGTGAGAGCCGAACAGCTATTTTTATTAAGAGGGTATATTTGAAGCATTGTTGTATATAGGTCGATTAATAAAAGTAAATTAAATAGTCCTTGTTACTTATTTTAAATAAAAAATACTATTTTTTAAATTAAATCAATAGTGTCCATGTTGTGATAACATAATAACACTACAATATTCAGTAATTCAGTTGAGAGTGCAGATTTTCAGTAGCTTATACTGAAATACTGAATCTAGTTAAAGTGATTTATTCAAATTTTTTTTTTCCTACAGGCGATGTATGAATTTTATTTAAAACGAAGAAACCAACTGAAACTGTCACTAAGAAGGAGAGATTCGTGTTTAAGCCTTTCTCAAAATCATCTATGACTGGTTGCAAAAACTATATATATATATATATATATATATATATATATATATATATATATATATATATATATATATATATATATATATATATATATATATATATACGTACATTTAAAAATTTGTGTGGAGTAGTTTAGGACATTGATCTAACTACATGCCAACAAACCTTCGAATTTTGGTTGTTTTTTAAATCTCAAAGACACCGAGTTTTATGCCTACACAATTAAGATATTGTTTTAATGTATTGGACTTTTCAAGAGTTGACTGTGCAATTAGGTGTACTTGTATCATTCGACAACAATAAAATAATTAAACATTTAATTAATTTAAAAAAAATATTTTTATTTTCTAAGAATTTTTAACTTTTGCGTTTGTTTCTATTTTAAACTGTGATGAGCAAATGTATCGTAAGACACTTTTTACCCTCCCAGTATTAGTTATATAGCATTTCCTCTGACTTAAACCCTCATTGTTTATGACGTTATTTTCCAGAAACCTCAGTTCATCCCTGCCCCAAACCACTGCACAGTACAGTACATTATGGCAAATGCTTAGTGATTTATCCATTTAGCTAGATAATTGCCCACATAATGCAATTTTAAAAAAAAAAACAGTCATGGAAAATGTGTGTGTGTGTGTGTGCGTGCGCCAGCGTGCGTGCGTGCGTGCGTGTAAGCCCTACGTCTACTGAACTATTTGGGCGTGGTTACCCTTAACATTAGTCAAATGAAAACCTCAAGTTTGTTTACAAGATTGTATTTTTTTTGTTATACACACATTTCTTTAAAAACGATAATTAATTTATAGATATTTCAGTTGAAGGAACACCACTTCAATTATAAAAGTTCATAAAACGACGTCAATGATTCTAGAGTAAAAATAGAATTTAAAATCTAATGCCGAAATAATAAAGACGTCATCGATACTTAGTAATAAAGACACTGACAATACCACCTAATTTATTTATCAAATCTTAAAAGTGGTCTACATGCAGTTTCTTTCCAAATATTTCACTTACTTATTTTCACAATAAGCATGGCTTCCATTGAAGAGCAATTTTTAAAAGTTGCTCATGATTTATTTAGATTTTTTTTTCTTTCTTATAAGTTTGCAAAGTGATTGATAAGTTCCTTGAAGTCCTTTTTAGTTTCTTTTATTTGTTCGATACTTAGGACGGCCAAGTTACTGACCTAAAGGGCATATCTACAACTTGTTTCATGACATCATCATAATGGAGAGACTTGGGGCGTTGGAAGACACCCCTTATTTTTTTAGCCATTGCTTATAGTAGCCCTCTGTATCCTTAGGGCATGGCGCTTATTAAAACAAGTGTATGCGCCGTATAGCTCACGGGGGGAGCCCGGGGCGCCAGCTGATGCACATGAGCAGTTTGACCGTTGAATTAAGCAGAAACTCTGGGTGGCAAACCGAACCGCCTTACTGTCAAGGGGTTGCTCTCCGAACGAAATAAAAACAAAATATTTAGGGGCAGAAAACTTTGCAGGAGTCAGAGTTTCTTTCGAGGGGAGAGGCACTGCTCTTCATGTGTGGGGTTGTGGTAGGAAACTTCACGGTCAATAGAGGTTTGTCTGAATTATTCTAAACGACTTTCCAATGTTTCTTGGCGATTGGATCATGTTTGTATTAATGCATAAAGGACAAGGAGACAGACAAACAAAAATCTTTGAGTAGCGACATCTTGATTAGAGATAAATTAGATCAACAAACAAATTGTGGTTAAGCTTAAAACTAGAAAAGCATTGACACGTTTTCGACGTAGCTTGTTGTAAACACACTGTCCACAGCTGTAGTTATTTTTTTAAATGGCTCAATTATAATCAAGGATGGATGGAATTTCGGTGAGGCCAGAGAGTTGAAAGGGGAGGGGGTGCAAGTTTGTGGCGGTGGGGTAGAGAGTTTTTAGCGATGCGTATAAATTTGCGGGTGCCGGATGCTAATCTCACAAAAGAGTCAATGTTCATGTTTATTTATAGGCTAATTCTATTAACGGCTTGTCCGACAATGCATTAATGCCTACAGTGTTATTAATACCGATGGGCCTTGTACAACCCACCCCCCCCCCTTGCCCAGTAAGAAAGGTTTGGGGGCCTTTTTTGGATTTTTAAAATTACTTTTACAGTAGAAAAGAAACTGGATTTCCGTTTGCTTTTTAAAATTATTTTTATAATACAAATATTAAAATTCCAATGTAAAAAATTTAAAGGGGGAGAAGGGCCCCTATTAGCCTTGGGCCCCTATGCCTTGCTTCCGCTAGCTTTACGGTAGCTATGCCGCTGCTGAAGACCTTGACTGAAATTTGTATCTTTTAACGTTAAGGTCTACATTTTACGAACAACTGTTTTTGTTTTTCCTCATTTAATTTCCTCATTTAATTTCGTCAAACTGCAGACGAAAGATGCAAGCCCATTCAAAAGTATACCGCATTATAAAGCTACATTTTCTCTCGTCTATAGCTCTAATGTCTAACGATACGTCTGGTTGCTATTTTTATTAGGTTCCAACACTATTGTCAACAGTGTTTCTTCCAGACTTTTTTCTCCGGGGGGGGGGGCACTTGAAATCTTCGGGGGGGGGGCGGTAAACTTTCTTCGGGGGGGGCGGACACTGTTAAAAGTATATATTTTCTATATAAATTATATAAATTTCCTTTCGTTCGGGGGGGGGGGCGGTAAAAAATTTTCGGGGGGGGGGGGGGGGGGGGGCTTCGCCCCCCCGAAGAGATGCCTGGAAGAAACTCTGATTGTCAATTTTCAATAGGATATGCTTTAGAGTTCTTCTAATTTGAGTATACAAATAAACTAGATTTAAGCTGTCGGAGGAAAGTAGTCCAAGCCAAAACTAAATAGTTAAAAAGAAAAACAAGTATAAAAACACAATAAAGGAGTTTCATTATTAAACTATTTTAGTCCTTCAATATCTATGTATATATCTTTGTTTCTTAGCAATGAAATTGGTTAAATTAGGATATAATTTAATTCAAAATGATATGTTGCTTGATTTTACTTTCTTATAGAGATGAACTAAAATAACTCGATATATTTGCCCTAAACATGTATCTGGTGGCCTGGTAGAGTCGACAGTATGTTGACACCTTTTTTTAAAAAGTTGCTTGTCCGAAACCCTTAAAAATTAAAATGTGAGTTTCTTTACTAAACTATTTTAGTGTTTTTAAATTTTAGTGTTTTTAGATTTTTCAAGCTGTTTGAGACCGTGTGTGACAGTCGGGGGGGGGGGGGGGTGGAAAATATTATGGTCAAACAAGCATGACGTAATGCTTGAATGACGGTCAAAAAAAAAACGGTCAAACGTCTAAAAATATACGATTGGTAACGGACGCGTTTATGAAACCTTACTCCAGTGTTTTGTCACTCTGGTGTGTAGGACTAGACTGAAGCATCACAAAACGGGTGCTCTAGTTCCAAAAAAAAAATCTTTTAGAATTCCTTGATCATCGTGAAGGAAATTTTGATATAAACGATGAATTTTTTTTAAATCTCATTATTTGCTAATTAAAATTAGGTTATGTAATAAAATAATAGATATGCCCTTTGTGTCAGTAACATGGATATCATAAGTATCGAACATTCAGAAGCAGCTTAAATGTATCTCAAAGAACGTGTTAATCTTTTTGCAAGGTTAAAAGTAAGAAGAATATAGCGGGAGTGATCTCCCTAAACTTTCTCGAATATTCTGAAATAACATTACGGGGATGGCAACTCATGATATAAACATGATTTTTAATCAAATTTTAATTACTTAAACTGTTTAAAGCAGAATCTCGTAGAAAAAAATTATTTCAATTTTTACATTTCTGTAATTTAGAGTTCTTTTTTTTAATTGGTTGATGATAAAACTAAATAAGCGCGAGTGATATCCCGTAAACATTCTCAAATATTCTTATATGACACTACGAGAGATGGCAACTCGCCTCCGGGAGGTGTAAAATATCGAGAATTAGGAAAGTCACGATTTCAATTATTTGCACGATCAAATACTTCCTCTATACTTTGTAAACGGGAACGAATAAAATCATAACATAAAAATAAGTATTTGTTGTTTATAAATTCAACATGTAGACGTCCACAATGGCCGAAACCACCCCCCCCCCCCCCTAAAGTCCACACGCCTCCACAAGAGTCGATTTCTAATTACGCCACTGTCACCCATCATAACAAATAAAATACGAATTTTTATTAATAACACATTTAAGCCAACTTAGAGAATAAGTGCTACTATGTTATCAGTGCCAACGCCAGGATATCTAGCGCCCTTAAAAAACTTATTAAAACGCACTCCCCCCCCCCCGGCATTTTTTTGGGTCCCCTTATATATATAGACAGTCTTCTTATATATATATATATATATATATATATATATATATATATATATATATATATATATATATATATATATATATATATATATATATATATATATATATATATATATATATATATATATATATATATATATATATATATATATATATATATATATATACTAGCGTACCCGACCCCCGCGCGTTGCCGAGGGGATAGAAGAAAGTTTGACGAAATATATTAGGATTTCACCAACGCGTTATCAATTATAAGTATAGGCCTATATTCTTAGACGCGTGACCTTCTTTTCTAAAAATGAGTTATTTAAATGTAAACAATGCCTGCTCTTGGATCATAAATATCAGGACACGGGTTTACCTACACTACCGCATGAAAACCTTGAGTGTACATTAATCACTCACCGAAATAATATGGTAACACACTTCGGTGACCGCCTCTGTGTCAGAGCGTAGAGGGGCGCTCTCAGGGCCCCCACCCCCCGATTACACTACCGCATAGGCGCGGCGTACTACCCCTGGCTCTTTAAAACCAACAGGCGCCATCGTGCCAAATAGCATCCTGTTAATAATGATGCAGATTTCGTCATTTGCTAAAGTGACACAAATGAACAGGATTTTTTTCTTTAACATGTAAAATAAACAGGGAGTGATCTCCCCTAAACTTTCTCGAATATTCTTATATAAAATAACAGGGGATGGGAACTCGGGCTGTAGACATGATTTTTAATCCATTTTAAATACTTAGAGTTTTAAAATAGAATAAAATCTCGTAGAAAAATTAATTGCACACCAAGTGAATGCCAAATAAAAAAGCGCATAATAGTGCGCAATATTATTAGTACTTTTAATATTTACATTAGTTTTTTGAGAAATCGGAAGTAGCGTAAATTATTACTTCCGGTACGGAAATTACTCAAAATTTGATAGAAGGTAGAGAATTAGATCTTTTACTAACATGTGAAATTTCATTTATCTATCTGAAATAGTACTCAAGTTATAGGCTTTTGAAAAATTCAAAGTAGGAAAAGTACCACTTCCGGTTATCGGAAATCGCTCAAAAGTTGATAAGGATCTACGATTTTGATAAAATACTTATATATGAAATTTCATCAACCTAGCTGTAACGGTACTCAAGTAATCGTGTTTACACACGGACAGACAGACAGACACACAGACAGACACACAGACATACGGACAAGATTGCAAAATTATGTTTTTCCGTATCAGTGAGGTGTAAAACGTCGAGATTTGTAAAAATCTCGATTAATTTTTTTTGCACGATTACAATACTTTCTCTATACTACGTAAAGACGAGAAAGTAAAAATTATTTGACGTGTTTTAAATATCATTGTGACTGAAGCAATATGCTAGCGTTACTAATGGTCTATTATTAGATGCTCGATCTCAATTTCTGACTGGATTGTCTAATAGTAGATGCTTATTGCATCATTCGCAAAGTGACGAAACTCTACAGTAGGCTCCTCATATTCAAAAAGTTATTTTTTCATCTTTGGCAAGGTGACGAAACTGTACAGAAGGATTTTCTCGCGTTACAAAGTTATTTTTAGAAGACTGTTTTAGTTTTACTGCTGAATATAGTAGTACCCCTTACTCGCTATGCAGGACGCTCGATTAACTGATGCCAAGTGCGAACATAGTCGCTCTAAAACTCTGGGCGCCAAACCGTGTATTGACAAAAGTTGTACCCCAGGGGCGTAGCGAGGGGGGCGGGGGGTGCGGACCGCACCGGGTGACACCATTTAGGGGGGTGACACCAAGGCAAAAAATAGCAAAATATATAGAGAAAAAGTCGAGGGGGGTGCAAATCGAAAGTTTGAGGGGGGGGGGTGCAAATCGAAAACTTGAAGTGGGGGGGGGGTGCAAATCGAAAGTTTGAGGGGGGGATGCAAATCGAAAATTTGAAAGTTTGTCCCTGGGAAGGGTCTCTATGCCTCTGGGGGGTGACAACATTAAGTGCCGCACCGGGTGACACCCGACCTCGCTACGCCACTGTTGTACCCTATATGGCGCCGCCCATAAGAAACTTTAGTTTTCTTTTTGGCAGTAATATTCTACTTCCTAAAGTTTCATGGCAATATTAAACAATATTTTTTGCAGAACCCTACCATTAAGTGATCTAATCATCTCCCCAAAGTTTCATGGTACACGGATGAACGATGTGAAACCGAAATAGACTTTTATTTTTATAAAACGTAAATAGAGAAAAATTGCAGCCTCCCGTGGCACCGCCCTTGCAAAATTAAAAAAGGATTTTTTTTTACAGAACCCTTCCCTGAATTGTTCTAATCAACTCCCCCAAAGTCTCATGGCTTTCGGATAACGGTGTCACACCAAAATCGACTATTTTTAAAATATACCGAATATAGATAAAAATCGCACCCTCCCGTGGCGCCGCCCTTGCGAAATTAATAATGATTTTTTACAGAACCCTTTCCTAGAGTTTTATGATGAACTCCGCAAAGTTTCATGCCTATCGGATGAACGGTGTCACTGCAATTCACTTTTATTATTTTTGTATACCGTATATAGCGAAAAATCGGACCCTCCCGTGGCGCCGCCCTTGCGAAATTAATTTTTTTTACAGAACCCTTCCCTAGAGTGGTATAATGAACTCCCCAAAGTCTCATGCCTATCGGATGAATGGTGTCATTGCAATTCACTTTTATTATTTTTATATACCGTATATTGAGAAAAATCGGACCCTCTCGTGGCGCCGCCTTTGCGAAATTAAAAATTATTTTTTTACAGAACCCTTCCCTAGAGTGGTATAATGAACTCCCCAAAGTCTCATGGCTATCGGATGAACGATGCCAAACCAAAATCAACTTTTATTTTTATATCTATCTATATATATAAAAAGCAATGTATGTGTATCTGTGTGTGTGTCCTTTATGCATTACTACACCTCTCATCACATCGGCGTGAAACTTTGGGAAGTTGTTGAGAATATTCCTGGGGAGGTTTCTGCGAAAAAAAAATTTCAAATTCGCAGGGGTGGCGCCCCTGCAGGGCGCGATTTGTTTTTCTCTATATACCGTATATAAAAATAAAAGTCGATTTTGGTTTGGCATCGTTCATCCGATAGCCATGAGACTTTGGGGAGTTCATTATACCACTGTTTTTTTCTGTTTGCGCTTTTTTCTGTGTGCGCTTTTTTCTCTTTGCGCTTTTTTCCGTGTGCGCTTTTTTCCGTTGCGCTTTTTGATTTGTGCTTTTTTCCGTTGCGCTTTTTTCCGTTGCGGTTCTTTCTGGGAACCATTTGGCACGATGGCGCCTATTACTTTTAAGGAGCCAGGGGTCGTACGCCGCGCCTATGCGGTAGTGTAATCGGGGGGAGGTGGGGGCCATGAGAACGCCCCTGTACGTCTCTGACACATGGGCGGTCACCGAAGTGTGTTCTAACATATTATTTCGGTGAGTGATTAATGTACACTCAATGTTTACATGCGGTAGTGTAGGTAAACCTGTGTCCCAATATTTATGATTTAAGCGCAGGCTTTGTTTACATTTAAATAACTCACTTTTAGAAAAGACGGTCACGAGTCTAAGAACATATGATTGGTAACGCGTTGGTGAAATCTTTCTAATACATTTCGTCATACTTTCTTCTATCCCCGCGGCAACGCGCGGGGGACGGGTACGCTAGTCTATATATATAAAAAGCAATGTATGTATGTCTGTGTGTGTGTGTGTCCTTTATGCATTACTACACCTCTCATCCCATCGCCGTGAAATTTGGGAAGTTGTTGAGAATATTCCTGGGGAGGTTTCTGTGAAAAAATAAATTTCAAATTCGCAGAGGTGGCGCCCCGACAGGGCGCGATTTGTTTATATATATATATATATATATATATATATATATATATATATATATATATATATATATATATATATATATATATTAGAAGACGGTCTCACTAAATTCTAAATTAAATCGTTTTATTGCAATTATTATGAGACAACAAATCACACACAGATAGGCTCAAACTTATTTCTGGCTTGGAATAATCAAGTTTTAAAATTTCTTATTTACGCCCAAAAAAATTATGTATAGTGTTCCTTCTTATTTGGCGAGTCAAATAACTTTTTTTTTTTTTCATATATATTAGTTTGGATTAAATTCCTTTCTATAGCTTAGTCATTCGTCAGGATGCTTAATTTTAATAGTTTTTAAGAGAATAATTTTTTATTTTAATTCGCTCAGTAAAAAACTATTTTTAATTGGGTTTATTCAACTATTTAAAGGAGAGATTAAGTCATGGAAGTGGTTTAAAGATTCGCCTATTTTTCATACAACTTATGTAGTTTTTTTTTCTCAATATATGCCTTTTATTTACTGTAGAACAATCACTGCTGCAATCAATCAGTTTTTTTGTTTTTACATAACCACTAGTCTATCAAGGTGCAAAAAAATATTTTTTTTTGTCGGATTTTGATCCCCCCCCCCCTCCCTAAAACTAAATGACCTACGTTATGCGCCGACCCAAAAAAAAGGGCGCAAACGTGATAGGTAATAATATAAAGAGCTCATAACTGAATTATATACAGTCGAAATAAAGAATCTGGACTGCTACTTGGCATTACAGACTTATTTGTTTTCTACGTCAATTGTGTGACACCAAAATAATAAAGCGAATTGAGTGATCTCCCCTAAACTTTCTCGAATATTCTTATATAACACTATGAAATTTTGATAAATCTGCATTTATAAGTTTTGCCTGATTGAAATAAGTCCCCTATACTCCGTATATGATGAAGTACTGAGGTGTAAAAAGGTGAAAACTGTCAAAATTTCATGTGATATGTGTGCACGATTACAATACTTCTTCTATACTCTGTATACGAGAAAGTACAAAGGCAAAGTGATTGTTAAAAACAGAGCTTCTCCCAGGCATCTCTTAGCCCCCCTTCCCCCCCCCCCCCCCCTCCCGGAGAAAGTCTACCGTCCCCCGAACGAAATGGAATTTATATATAAAATGTATACTTTCAACAATGTCCCGTCCCCGTCGTCACCCCCCCCCCCCACCCCCCTGAAATTTTAGTCCGCCCCCTCCCCGAAAATTCCAAGTGCCCCCCCCCCCCCTATGATGATCTAATTTAAACGCCACCTCAGATTAGTACATACAAGTATGCGAGTCTCATATGCACACCTGATGAATTAGAAGTTTTGTTTTACTTAAATTTTACTAAAAAAAATTATAGCGTAATAGGCTTATAACTATTATATTTTTTAAGAATTGCAATAGTTCATGCGACGTGTGTGGTGCACAAGCTAGATAAGAGTTATCTTTCAACTGAAAGTGTATACACACCAGATACTACACGAACAAACCAGCGCTAACACATCAGCTTTTGTGTTGACCTAACATTGAAGTCTGATTGAAACACAACGTTCTCATTCTAGGCGGGTGTGCTATTACTGTGTGCTTTTTACGTATATACTCTGTGAAGCATAACAATTTTCCAGAAACATCCGTGTATCGGGAATAAAATTAAGGTATTTTTATTTGCTTTAGTTTTACAGAGCGAACCTTGACCTTTGTGCTTATTCAAGTTGTAAGTGTATTTGTCTGGGGTTCCTACAAAGCTTGTAGATCTAGTTCAGCACAGAATGTGGTCCTGCATGCACTATAGCCTGTGGTGTTGGTCTATAAAAAGCTTGACGTGTCGGAGCGGCTTACTACATTTTAAAAGCGGCCCCCACTCCCAGATTGAAATTTTCACAGTACATTTTTCACCATCAGAGCGTGAAGTAGTTGAAGGCAACACCTACATAGAAAGCCGCGGGCTACTTTAAAACATACAAAATAAGCCTAGAATTATAACTAAAACAATAACCCGAAATAATTACATTTTATTGGACATACAACCTAATCAAGATGTGTGTGTAGAATATTAAGGTTTTTTATTACAATATTTATACCTGAATTTAATGCAAGGCAGTTTTTCAATGTCCAAACAATTGTCAGACTCTTCAGATTTTAAAATCAAATTATACCTATGATTTAACTTAAAAAATGTTAAAAATGTTTTGGCTGCATCCTTCGTTTCAGCAGACATTAAGGCATTACTTATTTTAAAATAAAAAATGGGGCTAATATTCCCATTTTAAGATGTTGCACCGTAACGGTTGTTAGATAAAAGCTCAAATACTTTTTTGTTTGTAAACATTACCCCATGGGTAATCAATAGAAAATAATAGGCATTGTGTAAAGCGATTATCGCCTGTATCGTGGTGAGGGGAATGCACATGGTAGTGGTACGCTTTAAATGGTAGTAGATGACGTGATCAAACACGACACTCTTACAGCAGCCCTAACAGTCATGTATAAATGTGTCATCTAGTCGATATAGGTATTTGTGCTAAATTTCTCTTTTGCACATTTTTCGTTGTTTTTTCTGGTTGCGCATTCTTCTGTTTGCGCTTTTTTCCGTTTGCGCTTTTTTCTGTGTGCGCTTTTTTCTGTTTGCGCTTTTTTCTGTTTGCGCTTTTTTCTGTTTGCGCTTTTTTCTGTGTGCGCTTTTTTCTGTTTGTACTTTTTTCCGTTTGCGCTTTTTTCTGTTTGCGCTTTTTTTCCGTTTGCGCTTTTTTCCGTTTGCGCTTTTTTCCGTTTGCGCTTTTTTCCGTTTGCGCTTTTTTCTGTTTGCGCTTTTTTCCGTTTGCGCTTTTTTCTGTTTGCGCTTTTTTCTGTGTGCGCTTTTTTCTTTTTGCGCTTTTTTCTCTTTGCGCTTTTTTCTCTTTGCGCTTTTTTCCGTGTGCGCTTTTTTCTCTTTGCGCTTTTTTCCGTGTGCGCCTTTTTCTGTTTGCGCTTTTTTCTGTGTGCGCTTTTTTCTTTTTGCGCTTTTTTCTCTTTGCGCTTTTTTCCGTGTGCGCTTTTTTCTCTTTGCGCTTTTTTCCGTGTGCGCTTATTTCCGTTGCGCTTTTTGTTTTGCGCTTTTTTCCGTTGCGCTTTTTTCCGTTGCGCTTCTTTCCGGCCACCGATGTATAGCATTTATTTTCTACTTTTTAGTTCAATCAGAAAACGTGTTTTTTTTTTTTTTAAAATTTTAATGATAATTATTTTTAAAATAAAAAAGTAAGAAAGAAATATTACAATTGTAAATCTGTATCAGTCCTCACAAGCCGACGATGAAAACTGTAATACTAAAGCGAACATGCAAAGCAAACTGACGCTGTAAATAGAATCTCGTAGGAAAAAAAATTGCGCCCCAAAAAAACAGCGTGTATAATAGTGCGAAACATTAGTACTTTATAAAGAAAACTTTGCTTAATTTTTAAAAGAGTTAATTTAATTAATCATCTAATTAAGTAACATTTTATGTCACAATACATAGTCTCCATGTCTTGACCAACGTGAAAGTTTTAAAATAACTCAGACCGGTAGAAGTGTTCGAAATTTTGCGCCGACCGTGACAGACGAAAGACAAATGAAAAAATTAAAAATAATGGCATATATCTTTTTTTTAAGAAGTCGGAAAGAGCGTAAAGTACTAGTTCCGGTCAACGGAAATTACTCAAAATTTTATAGAAAACAGAGTATTAGATCTTTTACGTATAAGGGAAATTGTGTCTAGCTAACAGAAGCAGTACTTTGAAAAACCGAAAGTAGAACAAGTCCCACTTCCGGAAGTCGCTAAAAAGCTGATACAGAACTATAAATTTGACATAATACTTTTATATGATTTATGCTAACCTAGCTGTAACGGTTCTAAGTTACCGAGTTCACAGACAAACACACATCCAAAAATAGCAACGCCCAGTTTTTCCTACTCGGTAACGCATAAGACACAGAGATTTTGATACATTTGGATTTAGAATTTTTGCCCAATTTAAATAATACAGTATTTTTGTGTACAATTAAAATACTTCCTCTTTACTTGGTGTACGAGAAAGTAAAAATGAAAAGCGCACCAAATGACCGTATAAAATATGTGTATAAAAGCGCAGAAAATTAGTACCTTATAAAGAAAACAAGTAATTAATTCACATTAATTAAGTCACAAGTCACAGTTCATAATCATCTAGTCTTTACCTACATAAAACTTTTGAAACAAATCGGTGATATTTTTTTAGAAATCGGAAATACCGTATAGAACTATATCTGGCCTCCGGAAATCACTCAAAATGTGTGAAAGATTCAAGATAATAAAATCTTCGGGACAACGGTTTTCGGGTAAAAGGCGTTTGGGTAAGAGTCTTTCGGAAATTAGGCGTTGAACCACAATTGTCTTTTGTTGATCGGGTTTAAAGCAAACGTTTTTGGTTGTTAGGGTTTAGGTTTGGTATACAGTAGCCTAAATTTTTTCAGTAAATGCATGTTGTACACACATTTAAAAATGTAAATACTGACTTACCTCTGTATCTTTGCAATGTCTAAATACTAAAAAGTAGAAAAGAAAACAAATTTAAAAACCTGTTTAGTAAAAAGCTTTTAAGTGCCACTCAAGCTTAATCCGCCCCTCGTCACAGGTCAATAAACCGGTGATCGGGCAAATGTGCAATGGACAACTGCACAACGGAAAACTACGCACAAAATAATGCGCAAGAGTATTATTTTTATTTCTCACTCGTAGATATTAGCAAAGAGTGACCACATGTACATTGAAGCATAATAAAACATTAAAATGTATCCACGAAATATGACAAAATTGTAGTAATATGATTAACTTGTATTTGCGCATTTTTCTGTTTGCGCAATTTCCGTTGCTTATTTTTCCGTTTGCGTATTTTTCTGGAAACTCAACAATCCACGTAGGCAGTATCTTGTAAACGTCATACAATTTTTAAAATTTTTGTTTAACAGACAGAATAAATTCTTACTTCTTAGCTATTGGTTGAGGCATGTAAGTTAGGGGATTATTATTGAACTAGATAAATGGCCCGTTGAGGAAGGGTACAACGGGCGCTAGGCTGATAGTGCTGTCTCTTTTCTCTAAACTAAAACCAACCCACCCCCCCCACACACCACCCCCACCCCACCACCCCACCCCCACCCCCACAAACCACCCCCACCCCCCACCACACACCAACCCCACCCCAACCCCTCACCCCCACACACCACCCCCACCCCCCACCACACACCGCTCCCCACCCCCCCCCCCCCCCAAAAAAAAAACATGTCTACCGTCCCATTCAACGAAATATAATTATATACTTTTTCCAGTGTCCGCCCCCTCCCAGAAAATTCTACCCCCGCCCCCGAAAATTTCAAGTACCCCCACCCCTCTCCGGGGAGGAAAAAGTCTGAAAGAAACACTGAAACCAACCCACCCCCCACACACCACCCCCCCACCCCCCACACCACCCCCCCCCCACACACACACACCACCCCCCACCCCACCCCTCCACCACCCCCCACCCCCAAAAAAAACATGTCTACCGTCCCATTCAACGAAATATAATTATATACTTTTTCCAGTGTCCGCCCCCTCCCAGAAAATTCTACCCCCGCCCCCGAAAATTTCAAGTACCCCCCACCCCTCTCCGGGGAGGAAAAAGTCTGAAAGAAACACTGAAACCAACCCACCCCCCCACACACCACCCCCACCCCCCCCCACCCCCACACACCACCCCCCCCCCCACACCACCCCCCCACACACACCCCCCACCACCCCCCCAAAAAAAACATGTCTACCGTCCCATTGCAAGAAAACCACTTTTTAGATTAGACACATTAATTAGGCGGTAATTTTATTATAGAGTATCGATGAGGAAATTTCTTTTGAGTTGGGGAGGGGGTGGGGGCGGCTCAGACGTTCTTACGCGGGGGGTGGGGCTTCGCCCCTACCCGAAGAATTGTATGCAAGAAACTCTTCACGCAAACCATTTAGATTAGACAACATTTCCTTTTTAATTCAATGTTTACGCGATAATCAATGACGTCATATGACTGTGTGCACTCTCTGGTTTGAGATTATGTTCTACTCTGCGCTAAATGTGTCGACGTCATACTTCGTTTTTCGAAATACTATGCATGTTTTTAAATTGCTTGTGTTTTCTCTAGAGCGTTCTTGTCAGACAGAGCGTTCTTGTCAGATAGACAGACAGACAGCGAAACTATTAGTATTAATAAGAGTTCCGGAACGGCTATCATAATCAACATTCCCTCTAAGGGGAAAAGGCTAGTTTGCAACTTGTATTTCGTGTGCGCGGTATTCTAAAAGTCTTATACTACAAGGATATACCAATTTTACAAAACTACTGCGCGGCCGCGCAATCGCGCACCTTAGAGGGAACACTGATCATAATATATAAGAATAGTACTTAAATAACGGACAGGCTATACTTGTGTAAATTGGAGCGCCCCGGTCTCTCCATGCGCACTATGGCGTCTTCGTCGGTTTTAAAGAGGGTCATACACTATGAATACAGTAGGTTACTACAATCGACGAATAAATCGAACCTTGTGCGACCTCTTGACGCCCCTGCGGTAGTGTCACCAGTTGCTTATTCTTTTATTCTTTAGACATTACTGGATTATTGATGCAATCAACAACAAAATTTGGTAAGTACACCCAGGGGCGTAGCGAGGGGGGTGCGGGGGGTGCGGACCGCACCGGGTGACACCATTTAGGGGGGTGACACCAAGGCAAAAAATAGCAAAATATATAGAGAAAAATGATAATTCCACTTAATAGAGTGATTAATTAGAGTGTTAAATAGCCTTTTAAGAGGTGGGGGGTGAAAATCGAAAGTTTGAGGGGGGGGGGTGCAAATCGAAGGTTTGAGGGGAGGGGGTGCAAATCGAAAGTTTGAGGGGGGGGGGGGTGTAAATCGAAAATTGAAAGTTTGTCCCCTGGAAGGGTCGTTGCGCCTCTGGGGGGTGACACCATTAAGTGCCGCACCGGGTGACACCCGACCTCGCTACGCCCCTGAGTACACCCCTCGAAGGTTTCTGGCAAAAAAAATCTAAATATCGGAGGCTGATCAACGTACACTGGTTTTCACATAGCATACCCTGTGGCGTTTGGGCGGTAGTGTGGACAACCCCGTGACCCTATAAACTAAATACAAGAAACATCACGCTCGGATAACTCAAGTGTTGATTAACCGAAAGTTATACATTTCATATCTAAGAATACCTAATAGCCCAAACTGATAACCCTTTGTTGGTATCTGAGAGAAACAGCCAATCTTTATAAACTACTTGACATTGTTCATCATTTTTACCAGGGCCCATAAAGTCATAAATTCTATCGGATATTAAATTTCTCCATATACCATGTAGTAGTGCGCTGATATGTCCTTATATATTCTGGTGCAAAGAGCATCATTTATTACATGGTTAAATCACAAAATAAAAGTCACTTTAACAGTATTATCATACCGAGTGTCCTCGAATTTATTTTCTTATGAGAGCGCAGTAACGAGTGACGAGTAGGCTAATTTCTAAACAAAATTAAAATGTTAAATGCTGTGCATTTGTTTTTGGTTGATATGGAATAAAAATCATTAAAATAAAACAATAGCTTAGCAATTATTTAAAATTTTAAAACAATGAATTTATTTTTCTCGGCACATTCTAAATGCTATATTTAATATTAAATAACAGAGATCATTAATCATTACATTGTTTTATAATTGCAGTGCTATTGAATAATTTTATGGGAATTAAGTTTTGGGAGGTCAATTAAATATTTTTTTTGGGGCGCGCTGCGTCCAAAATGGAAGTCTTAACATTTAAAATATTTGGACGTCATAAAGTGATGTAAGTAGACATAACTATCCAGTGGATAGTATCCACCCGCCACTAAAAAGATAAATTCATAATTAACACGTGCATTACAATTAGCTGTCTAACATTGGGCATTTATTTATAGTTCTATGCTTAAGCGGCACTTCTTGATAACGATTTTACAGGTAACATTTTGTTTCTTACTTTTAGAATGAAAATTTTAGGAATTGAATTTGCGCCTTTGTCGATCCCAATGGAAAGAAGACTTCAAACAGTCGGAGCATTACATTATACCTACGCATTTCTATTTTTTGGCTTTGGGATGCTCTTTGTATTCCTGTACCTACTCTTTACCAACTATTACTTTGTGCCTCTGGCTTATTTGGCGTGGTACTTTTATGATCGGGACACCAGCAAACACGGCGGGAGAAGATCTGAATGGGTGCGGAGGTAACGTTAGTTTGATTTTAAAGGTTATCTATTTATTAACTAGAGGCCAAGTTTATTCAATCAAGCAAAAACAAATTCTTCGAAACCAAAAAAAAATATATTTAGAATTACAAAAATGATTTATTTCTATTTTATATTTTAGGTGGAGTTTGTTTCGTTGGTCAGCAGATTATTTCCCTCTGAAACTTATTAAAACCCACGACCTTTCGCCAGCCAAGAATTACATATTTGCTTGCCATCCTCATGGAGTCATGTGTCAGAGCCATTTTGTTAACTTTGCCTCTGAAGGAACTGGTTTTAGTGAGCTGTTCCCAGGTCTACAGTCGTTCTTATGTGTTCTTTCAGGACAGTTTATGTTCCCAATATTTAGGGAATATTTTTTATTATCGGGTAAGTTAGCTTTTGGAAAATCTTTTTTTTTAACAAAAAAAAAAAAAAACTTGTTTTAAATTAACAAACACCACAAGAACTCGATCTTCTGTTTGTTCTTGTGGTGTGGCACCGGGACTACCTCCGGTTGTAGTGTCTAGCACGAAAGGTTCCATGACAAACAATCTCAGAATAAAAGATCTCAGGATAAAAAATATCATGGGAAATTAAACATCAAATGATATCATACAAAATATATCTTGGCAAAATATTTAAATTATTTAGGATGATTTTAGTCGTCTTGATCCCCTCGAACGTGTGTATGTCGGGATACAAATACGATTAGCGTTAGACGTTATTTAGAAGCGGTTACACACCTTTGAAGAAGGTGGGGGAAGGGGAATTGAAGATGTTCTAAAGGCTATACATTCAGAATGTCTATTGTATTGGAATACTAATAATATAAATCAATTAGATAGAATAATCTAATTTAAAGGCGATTGCTGGGGTGAGGTCAGAGTGGGCTATTGGTTTCAGCAAGCATTTTTGACCAGTAACAGTATTTTTTGGGGAAAATAAAAGTAAAAAGTTAATACAAGTCAGTTAATAAATCAGATAATGAACGTGTAAGTATAATGGGTGCGCCTATCTTGTGGTTGGCGTTTTTACTTCGCTGTTGGTTAATGAAACGCCTGCCTTGTGGTCGCGTTCTGTAATAAACTGCTGGTTAATGATTTCACTGAAATTTTCAATAAGATTAAATGAAGTAAGGAAATCATCTTTTCAAACTTAGGAGCTGTTGAGGTATCAAGAGAAAGCATAGAATGGATTTTAACAAAAGAAGGTACAGGAAATGCACTGGCAATAATGATAGGTGGAGCTGTAGAAGCTTTAGAAGCACATCCCCGAAGTCTAAAACTCAAAGTTAAAAGTCGAAAAGGATTTTGCAAACTAGCACTGAAGCACGGGTAAGGTGTAACAAAACATTGGGATGACATTACCCCCCCCCCCCCCCATTTGTAACGCGAGGAAATCCTTCTGTACAGTTTCGGCAGTTTGCAAATGTTGCAATTAGCAAATATTTTTACGCTTAACCCTCTGAGTTTAAACTATTAGCCAAATATTATATCTTTAGACTCGGAAATAAGGAAGTTGGTACTCATCACCCGCCCATGCCCTTAAACGATGAAATCAGAAATTGAGATTGAGCTTCTAATAATACACCATTAGTAACGCTAACAAATTCTACGTGTTAAAGAAAAAAATCATGTTGATTTGTGTCACTTTAGCGAATGACGCAATCTGTTTCATTGTTTCAGAATGTTATTAGGCGCTATGGGTTATTCTGTGAGCACTACAACGCCTATGTTAGTTTTAAGTAGCCAGCGGCCGTACGCGGCGCCTCTGCGGTAGTGTAATTGGGGGCTCCCGAGAGCTGGACACATGAGCGGTCACCGAAGTGTGTTCTACCTCATTATTTCGGTTTCTTTGTGTATCTGTCTTGTATGCATTACTACACCTTTCATCCGGTATATAACAAAAAAAAGTCGGATGTGGATATGGCTCGACACCGTTCATCCGAGTGCCATGAAGCTTTGGGGAGCTGATGAGAACATTCCAGAGGAGGTTTCTGCGAAAAAAGAATTTTCAATTTCGCAGGGGTGGCGCCACGGCAGGGCCCGATTTGTTTTTTCTCTATAGACGGTATATAAAAATAAAAGTCGATTTCGTTTGACACCGTTCATCCGATCGCCATGAAACTTGGGGGAGTTGATTAGAATACTCAAGGGGAGGTTTCTGTAAAACAATCTTTTTTTAATTTCGCAAGGTTGGCGCACCCGGAGGGTGCGATTTTTTCTTTATATACGGCATATTTAAAAAAAATGTAAGATGCGGTTCGATACCTTTCATCTGAGTGCTTAAAACTTTAAGGAGTTGATGAGAATTCTCCCTGGAAGGTTTCAGTTAATAAAAGAATTTAAATTTGATATGAGCGGCGCTCGGGAAGGTCGATTTTCGTCAATACACAATTTTGCGCCCAGAGTTCCAGAGCAGCTATGTTAGCACTTGGCATCCGTGCGTCTTGCATAGCGGGTACTACTATATTCAGCGTTAAAACTTCAACAGGCGCAACCGCCAGCACCCCGTAGATTGCACGACCCGATGCGCCCCGGGTTCCCCTGCGAGCACTATGGCGCCTCTGCGGTAATGTAATCGGGGGCTCCCGAGAGCGCCCCTCTACTTCCCTGACACATGGGCGGTCACCGAAATGTGTTCTACCTCATTATTTCGGTAAGTGACTAACGTACACTCAAGGTTTCCATGCGGTAGTGTCGGTAAACCAGTGTCCCGATATTTATGATCCAAGCGCAGGCATTGTTTACATTAAATAACTCAGTTTTAGAAAACAAGGTCACGCGTCTAAGAACATAGGATTGATAACGCATTCATAAAACCCTTCTTATATATTTCGTCAGACTGATACGCTAGTATCTATATATATAATTCTTTTCATGGAGACCACAGAAAACACCAAGCTGTAAGCGCGCCTAGCAGCCCCCTGTCTTGATCTCTAGGCATATCCCTACCACCCCCACATGGTCTGGTGAGCTGTGGTACACGCTAAATGTTTACAATCGTAGAGCCGGGTTTAGTGACGGCTATTAGGGGCAGATAATTTAGTTTGAAACGATTTTAAACTTAGGAGAGGTAACTAAGAGGAGGCTGCTTTTACGGGAGGGTGGGGGGGGGGGTATCGTCCTTAACGACCTACTGATAGTGTTTTAAAGCAAATATTTTTAGTGGCAGCATTGGTACTGTCGAATTCACAAATTATGAATTACTGAAAAGTAGAAAATAAAACAAATAGCGGCATATGATACGCCGCGAGTCCGCTCGTATATATATATAAATATAGAGACCCCAATCACAGATTTTTATTGCTTTGTACAAAATAATTGTGAATGTGCTTTTATTATTTATGCATTCAGAGCCAGTATTGTTCCTGTCTTTGCCTTTGGAGAAAACGATTTGTATGAGCAAATCCCCAACCCTGATGGATCTCTCGTGAGAAGATTTCAAAATTTTTTAACACATCTTCTAGGATTTTCACCTGCGTTATTTCATGGACGGGGCATTTTTAATTACACATTTGGCCTTTTGCCCTATAGAAAACCTGTGTTTACCGTGGGTAAAGATACTTTCAATTACTATGCTTTGTAATGAGTTTATCTGGTGTGTGTTGTAACTGTTTATGATAATATAATTATTTATTTATATATTTATTTAGTGCACTATTCATTACTTTTTATGTTGAGAACACAAACCCTTACTAATTGACTAAACTGTTTTATATAAACTACATATGAATGTTTGAACTAACTTGGTTTTTCATCCATCAGTTGGTGCTCCAATAGTTGTCCAACCAGTTCCAGACCCAAGTGGAGAACAGATTAATGAACTACATGAGACGTACTGTTCAGAGCTTTACAATTTATTTGAAACACACAAACACAAATATGGCTATACAGAATCAGATCATTTAGACTATGAATAAGAAGTGTGCAGAAATTTAATACAACACACTAGGTAGATGAATACCAAGCAGTAGCGCAGTAGCGTCACAATGGGGGGGGGGGGGGGGGGTAAGACCGCCAAATTAAAAAAAAAAAGTAAAATTGTTGAGGGGGTTGGTTGACACCCTCAGTTATAGCACACGGACGCCACCAATACCAAAAATTCGTTGTTATATCTAAACAAATCATTCAACTTTTGCTATGCAGTTTACATTATATAATTCCACAACTAATTATAACTACTTAAAGCTAGAATAGAACATTGTATATTTTTCATTGAAAATCATTCATAGCTAGAAGAAAGGCAGCTGCAAATACCTTTTTAAAAAACTAAAAGGTGGAATTTTTACCTTTTAATTTGAGGGCTTAAATATTTTAATTCCTGTGCTTCTAAAATTTAAAAATATATAAATAAAAACGGAGAAAAAAAAATGATCACCAATAAATAAATCTTACTAATTAAAAATGGTTTATAATTTACATGTTAATGACAATTTTTTGTTACACTGCTGTTGGCGATTTCTTATATCACGAGCTCAATAAAAGACACAAATTTTTACTTTAATACAATTATTAACCAAGCCATTCTGACCTACTTTTTATGTTTTAATATTTCTGTGTTGTTATTAAATTTATATTGATGATACAATACTATAACTCTAAGAAAAGAAATCCAAGGATAATCGTTATGATAACATTCAATTATTACACATTATGCAATCTAAATTTCCATCTACACTTATTGCTATCTGTTATAATAGCAGACGCATGCTGCATCAGTAAAAAACAACAGACATTGAGTCAACATTAATTACCATCAGACTCCCCGATATTTCATTTATTTTCCGCAGAAACTTTCACAAGAGTATTCTCAACAAATTCCCTAAGTTGCATGGTGATCAGGAGTAGGTGGTCTTTACTGTTAGTAGGAAATTGACTCTGTGACTAGTGAAAGCCATGCATATAGGTTTTTTTAATCGACTTGATCACCAATGTGTAATAATTTAAAGTGTTGATTTTCCTACTAAAATCTTAACTGGTGTGTAGAAGTTTACAACTTAACATTTTAATTTGCATACAGTGAAAAAAAAATGTATTATCCTTCAAATATTTTAATTTTATCTGAAAAATTGGTGACCAAAAATATGCGCAACAGGAAAAAACGCTTACACAAAAATTGCGCAAAGAGAAATTTGTGCAAAGACCAAAATACGAACACAGAAAAATGCGCAAACAGAAAAGCGCTCACACTTTTATTAATAATAGTATTATTAATAGAGAATTATCCTAAATGTCCTTAATGTGTTGGTGTCTGCGTTAACATTATCGTTTGCTTTCATGTTTGCGTTTAAGCTTGTGTTTAGGTTTGCATTATTTATTGAGTTATTCTTTGTGTTTATGTTGCGTCTGTTTCCGTTTAAGTTTGTGTTTATGTTTGCATTATTTTTGAGGTAAAGTTTCAGTTTAAATTTGCTGTGTTTGAGTTCAAGTTTGCACGTATGTTTGTGTCAGTTTAAAATTTAATCTTTAGTCTATATCAGGGGTCGGCAACCTGCGGCTCGCGAGCCGCATGCGGCTCTTTTGATATCAAGATGCGGCTCTCCAGCTCCTTGAACAAATACTAATAATCTTAATAAAAAAATAAAATATTTGAAATAAAAAAAATGTTAGTGGCTCTTTAAAACCAGGGAAATTTTGAAAATTGCAACTTTTGGCTCTTCCGCTTCAAAAGGTTGCCGACCCCTGGTCTATATCTAATATATAAAGCTCAATTCTGTATGTAACACATATGTTTGTCGTGGATCTTCGATGGATTCAAGTGTAAGATAATTAAAGTCCTTATGGTCTAAATTTATGAGTTAAAAAATTAATATTGAAAGTTTTGGGAAATAATTTTCATTTATCAAACTGAAAGTAATAATTTTCGGCATGTTCATTAAACACAAGTTTTTAAAAAATATCATCTTTTACAAAAATTCTAATTATGTCTTTATTTAGTTCTATAGCACTTACTTCCCTTTGATAAATTAGGAAAACACAATCACTTCCCTTTATAAAACCATTGCATTAGTGGAAAAGAATTTACTTTTAATTACTTTGTTTTGGTGTTGGGAAAAAAATAATTACATAATTAGCGGGGATTGATCAAGTGCAAATGTTGTAGGTATTTTACGGATAAGCTAAGAGTATTATAATTGTTCATTAAATTGAAACAGGCGCGTTCGTTTAAGTGAGTGCAAAAGACTATGAATAAGTTGGGGTACTATAGTCGTTTATTAAGCTAAAACAGGCGATTCCGCCCCGGGCTAGACTGTGAGCACTTTGCGTTTATGTTCGCGTTAGTGTTTTCATTGTGTTTAGGTTGGGTTTGCGTTAGTGGTTGCGGTTTGATTTGGTTCGTTTTTGTTCTTTCTTTTTTCGTTTTTGTTTGTGTTTTTTTCTTTGGGTTTGTATTTGTGTTTTTGGTTGGTTTTGCGTTTGGATGTGGTTTGTTTTCGTTTGCTTTTTCGTTTTTTTTTTTGTTGTTTTTTTTTATTGGTTGGTATTGGTGTTTGTGGTTGGGTTTGTTGTTAGGTTTTTGTTTTCGTTTGTTCGTTTTTTCTTTGTGTTTGTATTGGTGTTTGTGGTTGTGGTTGGGTTTGTTGTTAGGTTTTTGTTTTCGTTTGTATTTGTAATTGTGTTAGCGTTATGTTGTTTTGGTTTTGGTTGGTTGTGGTTTGGGTGGGCAATGCCGGGTTTATGATGATTACTAAACATCAGTTTATAGGCTAAGAACTACGGAGGTGTAAAACGTTTGATAGATAGTAGTACAAAATAAGTTATTAAATAAATAGTTAGGCCTACTGAGTAAAAAAAAAAGTATTTATTTTGAATCGATGAAAAAATATATTGGCTCTCTCAAATTTTAATTCGATTATATTAATAAAATGTAAAGTATAACCTAGAGCCTGTTAAGTTAAACCCATTTAAAAGAAGAAGAAAATTATGATAAGCGCTTGTTTAATTTTACATGCAATGTTTATTTGTAAATTAGCCAAAGTACTAAGAAAAGGTCAGAAAACATTTTCTGTAGTCATACATAGCGTATATATTATAAGTTGCCTTTAAGAAATTCTGACCCCCCCCCCTTTTCATTATTTTGCTTACAAATTTTAATTCAAAATATATATATATATATATATATATATATATATATATATATATATATATTGTGATTTAAATACCCACAGATTCGTTTTTAAATGTGTATATTTTGTATGCAGCATGAATTTTTCCCTGAGTGTAATATATTGATGTAAAATTAACCTTGTGGAAATTCACAAAAGTCACTTTAAACTCGTACTTCATGTAGACAGCACTAATGGATGATGTCACAACTTAAAATTTATTTTTAACACAGACATAAAACTTAACTATATGGCCTATTAGGTTCACCTGAATAAACCTTGGGATCAAACGTTTTACACCTCCGTAATTCTTAGCCTATAAACTGATGTTTTAATACTATTTTTAATATAATACTAGCCGGCCAGGCCCATGCTCTGGCTTCTGTGAAAAACCTTTCTGTTAAAGACCATTACCTGTGTGTTTAGTAATCATCATAAACCCGGCATTGCCCACCCAAACCACAACCAACCAAAACCAAAACAACAATTTGAACAAAACGCAAACATAACGCTAACACAATTACAAATACAAACGAAAACAAAAACCTAACAACAATCCCGAATAAAGAGGGAGGGTTGGGTTTAGGGCTTGCAATCATACCCCATAAAACAACAACTTTGCCTCAGAAAACGCTAACACATTGAATCAACGAGAGCTTCAGTGAAGCAGAAACAGCCGGATTGTCGTGGGCCCAACTTTGAGGAATCGCCCAGAACCGAATACAATGGAGAGGACTGTAGCGTCCTTTTGCTCCACAAGGAGCTCACATGAATGAAGACGATAGTGCTTATTTTATAAGTTGCTTTTAAAAGTGTGGTGTCTACTACATAATAATGTTTTGATCTAAGATAGAGTCAAGATATTTTAATATATTATCAAATTAATCATGATTATTAAGTTAATGGGGAAATTTTTATAGTTTACAAAGCTTTTAATAATGACATGGGAAAAAAAAACAACACATGTAATATAGTTATCGATCAAGTAGTCTAATGATATAATGAGAAAAGGCTGTTTAAATAATTTGGCAAAAATACCAATGACGTATTTAATCATCCCTGCATAAATTGCATACTTTGACATTTGTTGTAACAAGATTTGCCAATTTATTAGCTGATGTAGTAGTTAAAATATATGAGAATATATTTTGATTTGCAATTTTATTCAGTATTTGGGAGACACAGAGACATTTATTTTTCAAAAGAGTCCAACAATGACTAAAAGGAAACTGTTGCTTAAATTACAAAATCAAGGCAAAAGGCAGCACATCATCTGTAATGGATTTAGGCATCCTAGAAATAACTTGAGTGATACTGTCAGTAAGCTCAAGAACCCTGTATGAAATTTAAAACATGATGGGTTAATTTTTGCTCATTTAGTGGTCCAAAACCTAACTTATTTCATTGTTTTTAAAAGCTTTTATTTAGTTTACAATGTTTGTTTATTGTTTGATTGATCGATTGTGGCAAATCTTCATTTTAACCCACTTCTAATGAAACTATTTCCAGATACATTGATCTCAGATAATAATGCAAACATATTTTTTTTCCACCCTAATCATTAAAATATAATTAAAAGACCACTAAATTAAATAATAAAAGATGAGATAACAGGATTAATTTCTAGGAATTCTGAACTGTTGGTCACAGCCTATTGGTTTTTCACCTAAGCGGGCAGATAATGTACCAAAAAGGAGGAAATAAAACAAAAAATTTGAAAAATTAAAAACAAGCTTGCTTTCTTTAATAAAAACACAGGTCACTCATGAAATCTCTTACATATTTAGCTACCAACGCTTTGACTAAACAAAGCAAAATGTTTTCAGCGCTTTTAAAAAAAAAATTATTATTAAGGTTATTTATATTTGATTTACTAGAAATAAATGTAACTATTTTATTTACTTTCATTTTTTTTATAAAATGATATTTTTATTTAAAAAGAATTTAAATCTTCAATTTAATTGTAATGTTTGATGGTATTTCCCTCAACATTAAATTAAGTATGACCAATTTTCAATGGTCAATTTTTTTTTTGCTCCATATAGACAGTTGACAAATTTTCTCAGCCTGTTTTCTTCCTGGATTTGCTTACATTGCCTTTATCCATCCAAGAACAAACTACAAGGCATCAGTTGTTCTGGACTTTTCAATTTAGCAACCATGAGCTTTACTGACCCAAACCCACAGAGCCAGTAAGAAGTTAAAGGAATGTATACTATGTTAAAAGATATTTAATCAGAAACAATTTAAAACTGTTAGTGTGATATGAGATAGGCCTACAGGATAAAGTGGTTAGGGTCACAATTAAGTATATAATTTATAATCTAATATATACTAAATATATACTAAATACTAGATATTTATAATATAATTACTAACAGTTAAAAGTACTCACCATTCTGTTATTTCACTTGTTAGCATAACTTCTTCATCTTCTAAGACTTCAGCCATGAACTCTTTTATTGACTTAAAGTTATCTTCTATATTTTGTTTCAGTCTGTGTAATGTTTGATCTTGAGACAAAATACAGTTGATACCATGCTGTAAAACAAAATTCCAAGCTATTAAATGAAATATATAACTCAGCAGTATAATTGAAGAATTGTCAGGTTTATTCTTTTACTGTCAATGGCTTCTAAGATTTTCCTAAAAGATTAAATAAGAGACTGTGCTTCCATGGGTGATTACACAAAAAAAACTGTTTCACTGAAATTTACATTTATGTTTTACAGAACAAGTTTCTTCTTAAAAATAAACCGGGAGTGATCTCCCCTAAACTTTCTCGAATATTCTTATATAACTTGGAATGTAGACATGATTTTTAATTACTTTAACTTTTAAAAATAGAATAGAATCTCATAGAAAAAAAAATTGCGCACCAAACAAAATGTGCATAATAGTGCGCAATATTATTAGTACTTTATAAATTTACTTGCGTTTTTTGAGAAATCGGAAATAGCGTAAATTAGTACTTCCGGTCAACGAAAATTACTCAAAATTTGATAGAAGGTAGAGAATTAGATGTGAAATTTCATTTATCTATCTGAAATAGTACTCAAGTTATAGGCTTTTGAAAAATTCAAAGTAGAAAAAGTACCACTTCCGGTTATCGAAAATCGCTAAAAAGTTGATACGGATCTACGATTTTGATAAAATACTTATATATGAAATTTCATCAACCTAGCTGTAACGGTACTCAAGTTATCGTGTTTACACACAGACACACACACAGACAGACAGACAGACAGACACACAGACATACGGACAAGATTGCAAAATTATGTTTTTCCGTATCAGTGAGGTGTAAAACGTCGAGATTTGCAAAAATCTCGATTTTTTTTTTTTTGCACGATTACAAGACTTTCTCCATACTTCGTATATACGAGAAAGTAAAAAGGAATATTCAACTACAAAATAATGCTTCAACCAAAAGTTGTCAAGTTATTTACTAAATCGGTATTAAGCCCCACTTCTGTATTAGCTTCAGTTAAAAATATCAGCATGGAATATCAATTTGTGCCATCAGCTATAGAAATGGTAAGCACTAAATTTTTTGGATCTTAGTTGTGGTGGTGCTGGTTTGTCCACACTACTGCTAAAAAAACCTCTGGGTGAGCTGAGGGTAAACCTTGAGTGCATGTTGATCACTCTCCACAAATGTTGAGGTAGGGCACTGTCCAGGTGTAAGGGGATGTGGGGCACTATTGTGAGCTACCCCTTGTTTGCTTTAGTCATTGATTGTAGTAGTCCACTGTATTCTTAAAGTAGGTCAATCTTTTAAGTGAATTTAAGTGCCATAGTGGTCATGGGTGAGCCAGTGGTGCAGTGTAATAATCGATTCAGGTAATATCTCTGACTCAATGTGCAGTCCTCTGCTCCTGAAGTCTATACCACTGAATAAACTCAGCTAACAATTTACAGCCATGATAAATGAAAATATGATAATTGAATAGTGTATTTAAATTTTACAACTTAAACAGAATGCATAAAGGTATGCTCCAAGCAGCAACGGTTCCCAGAAAGAACCGCAACGGAAAAAAGCGCAACGGAAAAAAGCGCAAAACAAAAAGCGCAACGGAAAAAAGCGCACACGGAAAAAAGCGCAAAGAGAAAAAAGAGCACACAGAAAAAAGCGCAAAGAGAAAAAAGCGCAAACAGAAAAAAGCGCAAAGAGAAAAAAGCGCACACAGAAAAAAGCGCAAAGAGAAAAAAGCGCACACGGAAAAAAGCGCAAAGAGAAAAAAGCGCACACGGAAAAAAGCGCAAAGAGAAAAAAGCGCACACAGAAAAAAGCGCAAAGAGAAAAAACCGCACACAGAAAAAAGCGCAAACAGAAAAAAGTGCAAACGGAAAAAAGCGCAAAGAGAAAAAAGCGCAAACGGAAAAAAGTGCAAAGAGAAAAAAGCGCACACGGAAAAAAGCGCAAACGGAAAAAAGCGCACACAGAAATAATAATCATTAAAAAATCACAATAATGCAAGCGATCACTCTACTATAAGCGATGAAAAACGTGGGGCGCCGAAGTAAAAGTTATATTACTATTGATTAGATAATACTATTGACTTTTATTAGGGAGCTTGTAGAGAGTCAACAGTATTAGAAACTGTAAGAAAATCACGGCGCCCCACGTTTTTGATCGCTTATAGTGGAGTGATTGCTTGCATTATTGTGATGTATAGCGTTTATTTTCTACTTTTTAGTTCAATCAGAAAACGTGGGTTTTTTTAAACTTTTTTAATGATTATTATTTTCTACTTTTTAGTCTTTGTTTGTTTGCATTAAAATCTTGCTATCGATTTTATCTTTTCACTTTTTTTGGGTAAACGAAGACAACTCGTAAAAAGACAACTCGTAAAAAGACAACTCGTAAAAAACACGTTGTGTTAACGGGAGCCGGACGTTTTCCCGAAAGACACTTGCCCGAATGCCGTTTGCCCGAAGGCCGATTTCCCGAATGGACACTTGCCCGAATGCGACAAATGCCCGAATGGACACTTGCCCGAATGCGACAAACGCCCGAATGGACACTTGCCCGAATGCGACAAATGCCCGAATGGACACTTGCCCGAATGCGACAAATGCCCGAATGGACACTTGCCCGAATGCGACAAATGCCCGAATGGACACTTGCCCGAATGCGACAAATGCCCGAAGGCCACTTGCCCGAAGGCCGTTTGCCCGAAAAATGTTAATATTAGATATTAAAAAATATTACCAAATTGGAGATTCTTTATCAATTTAAGTTTGATATTTTGATAATAAACACAATTCTAAGCCTTATAAAAATTTCTTTGTAATTTTAAAATTTAGCTTGTATTTATTTTTTTAAATTGAGAAATTACTGTAAAAAAAAACTTTATTCTTTTATAAATGTAAGGTGATGTTGGCGGCGATGTCCTAACATTATTTTGATGTAAGTTTTGAACACCTTGTATAGCCGACCGTATTGCGGTGGTTATATAGCGCTTATGACACGGTGTAGGCGGCGCGGCGTCTCGCAAGATTGAACAGAGGCGCGTGTGTTTAATTTATCTTGTTATGGTTAACTTGTGTGGTAATCATTTCACAACAGAACGAGGCGTGGTCTAGGCGGCGAATTTAAAAACTAAATGTAGTGAAATAAGTTTGATCTCCATTTTAATGCACCTTGTTTAGACAATGTGTTAAACTAGTTAAAGCGAATACTTAATAAAGAAAGCAAAATTTATTTTAAAAACTTGTGAAAAACGAAAATTGTATTTTTTGTCTTGTTGGAAGAGAAAGTATGTTTCTACAACTTTTATATAGCAAATACAAATTAATTTAAAATGTCTGCATGGTGATATATAATATTTTTTTTCCTTTCTTTTTGCGTAGATAGGTTTTGTTTATCAACATTTCAAATTTAAATTGATAACGAATGATTATTTGGTAATATATAATGTTAAAATTTTTCGGGCAAACGGCCTTCGGGCAAGTGGCATTCGGGCATATGTCGCATTCGGGCAAGTGTCCCTTCGGGCATTTGTCGCATTCGGGCAAGTGTCCATTCGGGCAAGTGTCCATTCGGGCATTTGTCGCATTCGGGCAAGTGTCCATTCGGGCGTTTGTCGCATTCGGGCAAGTGTCCATTCGGGCATTTGTCGCATTCGGGCAAGTGTCCATTCGGGAAATCGGCCTTCGGGCAAACGGCATTCGGGCAAGTGTCTTTCGGGAATTTGTCGTAGACCCGTGTTAACACATAGATTTGAACCCGTGTCGAGTGGGATAGCAATCGTGTGCCCAACCACTCGACCATATCGTCTCCCCCAAACTGGCCTACATCCTGTAAGTTTAAACTCGGTTCAAACTAAATTATCTGCCCCTAAGCCTGTGGCGATGTGGGATCGTTCGCTTCACTGCGCGCGAGGTACGCGTCGCTCGTTTTTTTTCTAATGGCTCGCAGAGGAGAATTATATATATAGATTATATAGCGGTCTAAAATGCTCAATAAAATATTTCCATTGATCAATTTAGTAATAATAACAATTGAATATTCAATGGTCATCCAAAAGAAAGCTTCCCTGAAAATTTCAGCGCGCTAGCTAACTGGGAAGTGCCAGAAATTTCGATCGCAAGATTTGATTGGAAAGACAAACAAACACAGAAACACAGACACAGAGAAAGCAAGTTAAAGAAAACGTGGGAAAAAGCGCAAACGGAAAAAAGCGCAAACAGAAAAAAAGCGCAAACAGAAAAATTCGCAACCAGAAAAAACAACGAAAAATGTGCAAAAGAGAAATTTAGCACAAAGACCATATGGACTAGATGACACATTTATACATGACTGTTAGGGCTGCTGTGAGAGTGTCGTGTTTGATCACATGATCTACTACCATTTAAAGCGTACCACTACCATGTGCATTTCTATCACCATGATACAGGCGATAATCGCTTTACACAATGCCTATTATTTTCTTGGTCAATAATTATTCAACTACTATTCTCGTATAAATAAACATAAAACTATCGACATTACACGAAGTATCTTTCACATTTTCCCTAGTCCGAACTAATATATATATATATATATATATATATATATATATATATATATATATATATATATATATATATATATATATATATATATAGTTTTGATGTATGTTTAAACAAGGATTTGTGTGAACGAATATTAGTGCGAAAGTTAATGACGCATTGAATAGTTACGCGGTTCGCAAGAATGAGACGTTTTAGTGTAAGTTCGTTGTTGTCGGGGAAAGAAGTTAAAAAGTATACTTGTTCTTGTTGTGTTAGAGTGATGTCGTAATGTAGTCCAGTCTTAGTATTGTTCGTTCAAGTCGTCCTTTGTAATGGAATAAATAGTCAAATTAATGTCATCCTGTCGAATCATTTGTATACCTTGATGTCGTCGTGCTTTGGGATGAACTACTGAATGGCTAGACAGAATATAATGGTCGTGTTGACCCTCTCATGTAGAGCCCTACATTACATAGTTAATCAGTTTAAAAATGAAGATGCCATTGGAGTAGGTGTAAGTCAAAGCCTGATGTTATTATAAAACTTCATCTCTCTTTGTTTCTTTATAAAAAGGTTATGGAAGTTTTTTTTATGTATTTTACTGAAATGTTTACCGGACGAATGCAAAATGATATAAACAACCATAGCTCTTCAGTTATATAGGCTAAATGCAGTGTTTCTTCTAGACTTTCCACCCCCCCCCTCAAACTTTCGATTTGCACATCCCCCCCCTCAAACTTTCGATTTGCACCCCCCCCTCACACTTTATATATATATATATATATATATATATATATATATATATATATATATATATATATATATATATATATATATATATATATATACCGAGGGGTCTATGGGGGGTTATGACCCCCCCCCCTGCCTACGCCACTGCAAATAAGTATTCGCATAGCTTTAGAGTAGCGTCCCTTTTGTTTACATGTTTTCACTACCCTTCAAACAAAAGTCTATTTTAGTTATATTGAGATTAAAGAATTTAAATAAATAGTACACACAATTCTGTAGAATAGGAACGATTGGGAGGGAAGTGACATTTAGCGCAGGAAATTTAGAGGATAGGTACGGTATAATAAATGGTGGGGTTAGGAAAGTTAAGGGGTCCATTATCTAATAGGCAGTCTATGTCTCTTTCGTACTTTCGTGTTGGTTAATTGTCGAACCTGTCCTCACCTCACATCACAACAGTTGGCTGACGCTTACCGTGTAATGTTAAAATAAATAGCATGTAATTGAGTTAGCTCGAAGTGAGTTTTCATACAAGCCCAACGCACTAATTAAGGTTGTCGCAAAATGTAACACATTTGTAACATATGTCAATGATGTCATTGAATTTTCATTTTAAAAAAAAGATGTCTAGTACAGTTACTTACGAACTTCGACGATACTTTTTTGGTGGGTAGGTGGGTAAGTGGATAGGCGGGTAGGTGGGTAGGTAGGTAGGTAGGTAGGTAGGTAGGTGGGTAGGTAGGTAGGTAGGTAGGTAGGTGGGTAGGTGGGTAGGTGGGTAGATAGGTAAGTGTGTAGGTGGGTAGGTGGGTAGTAGGTAGGTAGGTAGGTGCGTCATGATGTGAAAAAAATATTAAATACATAATGGTTATTGTGGTGCGAATGAATGTTGTTACGAGAGATATGACGAATGCATGTTTGATGACGCGGATGAAAGAGAGTGAAGTTTTGCCATAGGAACGGGTTGTTATGGTATGCAAGCTAGGTAGTTCGGACTAGGGAAAATGTGAAAGATACTTCGTGTAATGTCGATAGTTTTATGTTTATTTATACGAGAATAGTAGTTGAATAATTATTGACCAAGAAAATAATAGGCATTGTGTAAAGCGATTATCGCCTGTATCATGGTGATAGAAATGCACATGGTAGTGGTATGCTTTAAATGGTAGTAGATCACATGATCAAACACGACACTCTCACAGCAAACCTAACAGTCATGTATAAATGTGTCATCTAGTCCATATGGTCTTTGTGCTAAATTTCTCTTTTGCACATTTTTCGTTGTTTTTTTCTGGTTGCGAATTTTTCTGTTTGCGCTTTTTTTCTGTTTGCGCTTTTTTCCGTTTGCGCTTTTTTCTGTGTGCGCTTTTTTCCGTTTGCGCTTTTTTCCGTTTGCGCTTTTTTCCGTTTGCGCTTTTTTCCGTGTGCGCTTTTTTCTCTTTGCGCTTTTTTCCGTTTGCGCTTTTTTCTCTTTGCGCTTTTTTCCGTTTGCGCTTTTTTCCGTTTGCGCTTTTTTCTGTTTGCGCTTTTTTCTGTGTGCGGTTTTTTCTCTTTGCGCTTTTTTCTGTGTGCGCTTTTTTCTCTTTGCGCTTTTTTCCGTGTGCGCTTTTTTCTCTTTGCGCTTTTTTCCGTGTGCGCTTTTTTCCGTGTGCGCTTTTTTCTCTTTGTGCTTTTTTCTGTTTGCGCTTTTTTCTGTGTGCGCTTTTTTCTCTTTGCGCTTTTTTCCGTGTGCGCTTTTTTTCCGTTGCGCTTTTTGTTTTGCGCTTTTTTCCGTTGCGCTTTTTTCCGTTGCGGTTCTTTCCGGCCACCAGCAGCAACACACACACACAAACACAAAATAAAAGCAACCAGCACCTATTAGATTTTAGATGTTAAATAATATGTACAGGTTCACAAACAATAATAAAACCTAACTTGAAGTCCAAAGGTCTTAAGAATTTCATACATATGTATTAAATTAAAATTAAACCTAAATTTTAACAGAAATGTTTTGCTGAATACATATGATACAATATGTAACCCTGTCTTTATCCATATCCCTAAACCAATTCATAGCCAAAGTTATATCATCATTATCATCTTTTCCCTTTTTTGCCTAAGACACAAGGGGCAGATGAAATAGAGTTCATCTGTTTCAATGACCTCTGCATGAGGTCAGCTATGCACTACAAACTGTGTATTTTTAGACACGTGGCCTTGTTTAAGGGCGAGACGTATGAAAGCATTAAGTTTACATTAGTCATTCTCCATAATAGATGTAGAACACATCTCAGTGACCACTCAGGTGATTGGGGCGCACATGAGCCACCAGTTACACTACCGCAGATACGGTTCCTGGTTCAGTTTAATTATCAAATGTCAATGTTGTGTGCCACCATGTCCCTATTGTAGGGTGCTTTTTACAATGAATGAAGGTGCAATAGTGCTCACAGGGGAGCCCTAAGTGCTGCAGGTTACCCAAATGCCAGGGCAATGGCAGATGCACCTGATTCTATTTAGTGAACAATTATGATTGCCCACCATACCCATAGTGTATCACATTTTTAAAAATTGAACAGAAGCTCCAGTGCTCACAGGGACGCCTGAGGCCCTCAGCAACACCTTACCGGGCATTAGTTCACGAGCCAGATTAGATTTAATGAACAATTGTAGTGGCCAATAGTATCCATAGTGCATACTCTATAAAACAAACATAGGCGCTTAGTGTTTTGGTGAGGAGGGAAGTGGGGGGGGGGGGGTGGTAAAGGGAGAGCGCCTGGAAGCAGAATAGCAACCTACATCTGACAAACCCACAGACATACTTTCATTTATATATATAGATACTTAAATATATATATATATATATATAAATAAATATATATATATATATAAATAAATATATATATATATAAAAATAAATATATATATATAAATAAATATATATATATAAATAAATATATATATATAAATATATATATATGAATATATATATATATAAATATATATATATATAAATATATATATATGAATATATATATATATAAATATATATATATATGTATATATAAATATATATATATATATATATATATATATATATATATATATATATATATATATATAAAGCAATGTATGTGTGTGTGTGTGTTTGTTTGTTTGTCTGTTCTTTATGCATTACTACACCTCTCATCACATCGCCGTGAAACTTTGGGAAGATATTGAGAATACTCCTGGAGAGGTTTCGGTGCAAAAAACATTTTCAAATTTGCAGGCCCGGCAGGGCCCGATTTGTTTTTACTCTATATACGGAACATAAAAATAAAAGTCGATTGCTATTTGACACCATTCATCTGATTGCCATTAAACTTTGGGGAGTTGATAAGAACACTGCAGGGAAGGGTTGTGAAAAAAAAAAAAACTTTTTTAATTTTGCAAGGGCGGCGCCACGGGAGGGTGCGATTTTTCTAAAATTAAAGTCGAATGCCATCTGACACCTTTTATCCGAGTGCTATGAAACTTTGGGGAGTTGATCACAACACTCAAGGAGAAGTTTCTGTAATACAATCTTTTTTAATTTCGCAAGGGTGGTGCCCCCAGAGGGTGCGATTCTGCTCTATATACGGTATATTACAAAATGAAAGTCAGACATGGTTCGACACCGTTTATTTGAGTGCCATAAAACTTTAGGGAGTTGATTAATACTCTTGAGAAGGTGTCTGGTGGGGGGGGGGTTTAATTTCGCACGGGTGGCCCCAGGCAGGATGCGATTTGGTGTCCTGGTCTTTCCGTGTGTGCTATGGTGACTACGTTAGTTCTAAACAGACAATGGATAAGACGGGGCGTTATAGTCGCTCACTTAAATGAATCAGGCATGTCCGCCGGCGCCCTGGTGGGGTGCGATTTGGCTGTGAACAAAAATTTTAGTTTCGGCCCCCAAAGGCTCACATGAGCCGCTGAAGGCTGTGTAATGCATATTTTTAATATTCAGATAAATTAACCAAGGTTAGATTATTAACTGGGTTGTTTCCTTTTGTCCGTCAAAAAATCCAACCAGTTTCGTCATTTTGCAATCCAATCAGAAATTGAGATCGAGCTTCTAATAATACACCATTAGTAACACTAACAAATTGCATCAGTCACACTGTTTATAACAGTGTACGCATCAAAGAAAATAATCCAGCTGATTTGTAGCGCTCTGGGTTATACTGTTAGCACTATGGTGCCTGTTAGTTTTAAGGAGACAGGGGCCGTACTCGGCGCCTCTGTGGTTGTGTAATTGAGGGTCTCCCTGACACATGGGCAGTCACCAAAGTGTGTTCTCCATTATTTCGGTGAATAGTTAACGACACTCAAGGTTTATGTAGTAGTGTAGGTAAACCCGTGTCCCAATATTTATGATTCAAGCATAGGCATTGTTTACATTTAAATAACTCAGTTTTAGAAAACAAGGTCGCGCGTATAAGAATATAGGATTGTTTACGCATTGATGAAACCCTTCTTATACATTTCGTTAATTATTATTTCATAAATATATAGTCTAATACAGGCTACTTAGTGAACTTAAATAAATATTGTATGTGACTATTCTTGTACTTACATAAAGAGCTGCTAGCTGGTGTGCCAAATACTTTAACCTAACTTGGTTAGCTACATCATGATGTATTTGTCTTGATAGAAAGAGAATATGATGGAGAGATGACACCTGGTTAAAATACTCTGAAAAAATAGTTTTTCTTAAAGCTATTGAACAAAAGCTAGTAAAAAGAAATGCATTTGTGTTTTGAATTTTTAATTATTTAGTTGTAGTGGCTTAAATATTAGAAACAATTATAGCAGATTCAAAAAGGTTTATGATGAAGCTTTTCAAAGTTACCAAATCTGTATCATTTAAAATTATATTTTAAGAATGTATATTCTATATCATTTAACTGTTAAGTTTGAGAATTTGATACCCACTATTCATTGAAGATTCACTGCAGACCACATCTAAAACATTCAACTGCCTTAAAAAAGCAGCTGTATGGGGAAACAATTCTGCTAATCCCAGTTGAGAAAACACCTAATTACAAAGAAAATAAAAATTACTTTCTTGTATTCATATTCCAAAATGAAACTTAATAATGAGTAAAATCAGGAGAACATAAAATTATTCTGAAATTAAAAAGAACCGAATTTGTAATAACTCTCTACTAAAAGTAGAGAATACATATGGCATGATCAGAAGCTACAAATTACTACAAACCACACTATGCCTCATTTTTTTTCTGGGACATAAATGAAAACAAAGGACGTATAGTAGAGAATAAAATCTCAGGACTCAAACAAAATGTTAAGGAATCATTTTTAATATGAGTAAACAAACAAAATGTTATGATGTTAAATAAGAATATTTTAAAGGAAAAAAATAACTGAAACTAACAAAGCAACTTCCACTAAAAAGAAAATTAAATATTTTAAAATGCAACTGCTCTTATAGGTGACTTGGATTGGGGAAAGAAAAGGTAGGGGGACATTTAATCAAGAATACTTTACTTTTTTGGTTAAATACAAATTTTAATTCCAAATCATGTGCCACAAGGGCATAGTCAGGAATATATATATATATATATATAATATATATATATATATATATATATATATATATATATATATATATATATATATATATATGTATATATATATATATATATATATATATATATATGTATATATATATATATATGTATATATATATATATATATATATATATGTATATGTATATATATATATATGTATATATATATATATATATATGTATATATATGTATATATATGTATATATATATATATATATATGTATATATATGTATATATATATATATATATATGTATATATATATATATATATATATATATATATATATATATATATATATATATATATATATATATATATATATATATATATATATATATATATATATATATATATATATATATATACAGTGGTACCTCTACATTCGAATGTCCTGACATATGAGATTTTTTTTAGATACGAGCTGTGAAGAAAGCTTAAATTTCCTTTGAAATACAAGCATAGGCGCTATTTAGTAACACTTATCTAACTCATTCTTTGTTCTTAATTTTAAGTGTTGGAAGGGATCGAGCCTTATCTGCCAGAGTTTTTGAACTCGAGACTTTTTTTTTTAATTTAACAACCATGAGCTTTTTGCGGACTCGACCAAGCCTCCAACACAATTAAGTATACGTGTCAACTGGTTATGCGCCATTGAGGCCATCGACTCAGATTCCAGCCTGCTTTTCTTTTTTGGATTTGCTTCCATAGCCTTTGTCCAACCAAGAACAAACTACAAGGCAACAGTTGTTTGATTTTGGAGTTGTCTCTCCCAGAAGAGTGGCTCTTCCCAGCTAAAGAGCCTCATCTGCCCGAGGGTTCAAACTCGAGACTTGAAACATTCCGTGACAGAAAAAAGCAAAGACCAAAGCAAAATTAAGTGAAAGTAAGAACAGCTTATATACAAGCATGTAGGTTCAGTTATGTTGGGGGAGGTTTAATTAAGCTATGTTAAGTTTAGGGAACAAGTGTAAAGGTATAGAGGTAAGAGTGTAATGAGTTATCTTAGCATTAGCAGTGATACAATGAACAAAGTGAATCTCCTCTCTTTAACTCTTCCATCCTGCACTGACTCTACACCAACACATGCATCTTGTGTCAACTATAAAGTCAGTTGGTTTTCAAGTGAAAAGTGAAATACACTTTAGAAAATCAGTTTTTTTCTTTGCATTTCCCTTTATCATATTATTTAACAATATTTGCCAGATCCAAAAAATATAATGCCTGCTTTAAATAGCTTTAGAAAACAAAACTACATAATTGGTAAGGCATGGATGTAATCTTCTTAAAGTATTGCATCAGCCTGCTGACAAGATCGCTAGTATATTAGTGTACATTATATATATTTATGGCAGGCACTATATTTCTTGGATCTGAGTTGTTATGGCGCTAGTTTTTTCACACTACCACCTATTACGTGTTGTATGAAAGTCTTGAGTCACCCATCCGTAACAGTGTGGTTGAGACCCTTCAGCGACCGCCCATGTGTCAGGGGCATCGCTGGGCGCTCTGAGGAGTCACTGGTTACATTACTGCTGGGGTGTTGGCTACAGCCCGTGGTTCAGCTAAATTACTGAATGGCATGTGCCACCCTATCCCTATCGGATTGTGCTGTTGAAAATAAATGTTGGCGCCATAGTGCTCGCGGGGGATCAAGACAAACACACCAACAGATTTTCAATTATCATATTTTTACTTAAGGTACTACTAATCATTATTTTTAAAATAGTAGGCCCATAGGGTAACAACCATTAATATTTTTGCAAAATATCTAAGCAAGGTTAATTCCTCTGAATATTTGAAATTCAATAATATTTCTTATTTTTATTCTGGGGCCCTCTGCTGACCTTTTTGAGCCCTTGTGGGCCTAAATTAATTTTTTTGCATACTTAACAACTCCCAAAAGTTTAACTGCGAAGGGATGAAAGATATAGTAATGCATAAAGGACATACCCACACATATATAAATAAGAAATGTGGTGCCAACGTTTACATTTAAATAATTTGAGTCATGATCTAGTATATTGACATTCAGGTCTGAGATTGTACTTACTAGATGGATTCCTAAAGATGTTTTAATTTAGGACAATTTTTCACTAACCAGAAAAGCTGGTAAATGACTGCACAAATGTAGTAGCTCCTGAATGTTTTTGCCAATCAACTGGACTGCATGAATAAAAAGAAAATGTTTTTACTTTATTTTTTTACTATTAGTGTATTGTGTTTTTTTTTTATTCATGTTAAAAATTACAAAATGATCACTTAATAACTTAATAGTAAAGCCTTTGAAAATATACAAAAACATTCTATTTATATTATATCCACCTCTAATATTTATCATAGTAGATATGGAAAATCTTATGCATATTAATTTTGAATTTTCAGTAGTCTAAAACTTTAATAAAAGAGTGAAGTCACACTTAAAATTATAAATGTAACATTCTAGGAATTTAAAATGAAAATCATGCAAATATGTTTTTAAAAAATGCATTAACTTGAAATGAAATCTTTGATTTAAAGCTAAATATTCAATATTTGTTCATGACAAATAATGATAGAGGTACAGTTGAAAACAAAGAAAGTCCTATGTGACAGCCCTTTAGTGTTCATGGTATGAAACATGATTGACATTGACATTTAAGAACTTGTTTATTTCAGAGAAAAGGCAAAATTTTCATAAAATCAATGAAAAAATTACAACACACATAAAAAAAATACAATCTATATAAAAACATATAATGAAACAATACTTTAAAAAATAGTACAAAGAATTTTTTTAAAATAGTATAAAGTATACAGTTTGATGTTACAATAATTAATAAAAGCAATAAAAATAATGAAAAACATGGAACAGAATAACAAACACTGATTTATTGCAGTTAGTTTATATAGGCCTACACTTTGCCCATAGTGACTGCAACTTTTTTTAAATGAAAGGAGGAGATATACCTAGAGCATCAACCAAGTTGCAATGTCTACAATGGATCTCCGACATGAGGTGTAGCTCTAAATGGGGAGGGGGGATTGAATGCCTGCTGAACAAACATGGAGGAGCCACTAAAGGGAGTCAATACTTAAAATGCTCATTTTGAGCTACTTTACTACTGTATTATACACAGTAAAGTTTTTTAAAAAGTGGACTGTAACATGGTCTTACATATAGCTTCTAAATCAATGATTACAGTAACAGATATAAACTAGCTGCTAATAAATAAAAGAGGTCTGAAAAACTGCTACAGGTAATTCACCTCCCTGCCATTAATTTATGTAGGTGCATTATTGCTGTTAGCACATTTTTCTGTTGTGCAACAATAATACAAGTCAGACCCTTTGTTATATTATCTCTTGTTAGTATTATGTATATCATGGTTACGTCCCTTGAGTATTCACTGTGTCTTCTGTGATGTGTAGTTGATGTGTACTTCTTATAGTTAGTTAAGTTAACATAAGGTAGAGTCAGGGTCAGGATGTGTGGTCTGAGCTTTGTGTATATAAGAATAAAGTAATAGAATTAACTAAGAACCATGTCTGTTTAAGTAATGTAACACACTTAACCTGAATCTTAACACTATGCAAAACATCACCATAAACTAAAACTAACCCCAACCATAATGTAACTCTAAACCTAATCCAAACAACTTTTAAATATGTTTTATCTTTCCATTTTTGTTTTTAAAACATTTGCAAACAGTAGAATCTAATGTCCATATTGTATATCTTCATGTAGCTTCTGTCATTTTAAACATTTTGCTATTTAATCTATCAAATATCTACATTTCATACTAGCCTTGAAAATACTTATCAATGAATAGAATGTTTACTTAAAATGCAAAGCGGTTAATAACAATGATATTTGAGCTATAAGGTACTTTTCTAAAGCATGCCTCTATATAGGAGCATGTTGATGTTAGTGAGACATTCCACACCTGAAATGGGACAGGCCATTATCGACTTAAAAGACATTAGTTGCACATCTAGCTGTGTGCAGGATACGGATGCCTAGTATTTGATCTAAGATAACTGATGATGGATATTTGTTCTATGAGGTACTAGTTAAACTCGATACTAATGTATAGCACTAGAGACTACAGTTACATTTATTGTTAAAAATGAATCTTGGTAGATTAAATTAAAAATAAAAAAAGGATTGCCTTTTTTATTGCTATAGCTCATTACAATTAAATAATTACATTGTAGTTTTATTTTTATACTATGTACAAGTTAGAAAAAACAAAATATATGGGGTTTTTATCCAATTATTTTTTACTTTCAACATCAAATACATTGATCTAGCACAGCCCCATAGGGGAGGTGTTGTCAGGCAGAAGGGCGCACGATTGCTAACTCTCAAGAACCAGATTTTAGACCCTCTTGGGAAGATAGGGCTCATTACAGCAACCTATCTAGGAAAGAGAACTGTGAAATCAAAGAACTGCTACCTAGCAGATTGTTCTTGAGTATTTTTTTAAAAAGGCTATGAAAGCAAATCCAGAAAGAAAAGCAAGTTGAAGTTGGAGCCAACAGACATCATAGTGCAAACATGTTGACTCTAATGATAACTTTGTAGGAGGAAATTTCCAAGATGAATGCTTGTATTATAACTGAGTAGAGCTCATTTTAAAAATAACACTAATTTAGTGAATATTTTTGTCACTACAGATTCTATTGCTGGTAAACAGTTTTAAAAATAAGTTTACTTACTTTTGTTTCCATATATACTTAAGACTTTTTTTTGTCCCTGCAATAAGAAAATCAGCAAAAATAATGTATTTCACTGCTCTACTACATTTACACAATATTTTCATATCAATTTTTACATTACTTTTTATTACCTGGTTGATGATAAAACTAAATAAGCAGGAGTGATCTCCCCTGAACATTCTCAAATATTCTTATATGAGAAAAATGGCCCGTTGAGGAAGGATACAACGGGCGCTAGGTTGATAGTGCTGTCTCTTTTCTCTAAACTAAAACCAAAACCAAAATCACCACCTTAATTAAATTAACCGGAAACGAAAAATGACATTGAAAACGGATTTTTATCTAAACCATGCATCTTGCATCTAATCTCAATCATGACAAAAGTCACGTTTAAAGTTTCTTTCAGGCAACTACTTGGGAGGAAGGGGCTCTGCACAGCCCCCCCCCCCCTTCCCCCCTCACACACACACACACCAAAGCACCTCTACCGTTTCATTTGACGATATATAATTATACTTTTTCCAGTCCGCCCTTTCACAGAAAATTTCACCCCGCCCCTGAAAATCTCAAGCATCCCCACCCCTCTCCGGGGAGGAAAAAGTCTGAAAGAAACACTGGTAGCATTTGTTGATCATACAAACTAAAGGTAGAGCCTGGGAGGGGTTTTGCCCCTACCGGAAGAGATGCATGAAAGAAACTGCATGCAAAACACTTTTTAGATTACAAAATTTCAAGTTCCCCCACCCCTCTCAGGGGAGGAAAAAGTCTGAAAGAAACACTGGTCGTATTTGTAGATCATACAAACTGAAGGTAGAGCCTACTTCTATAATTTAAACTCGTTACATCGTTTCCTACTTTTGGCCGATAAACCTCACTCTCGCAGACAGTGTTGCTTTCAGATATTTTTCTGGGGGTGGGCACTTGAATTTTTGCAGAGGCAAATAAATTTATCCGGGGCAGGGGAGCCGGACACTGGTAAAAGTATAATATATTTTCTATATAAATTATATTTCGTTTTTTTAGGGGGAGGGTTTAGACATTCTAGCCGGTGAGGGGTTGGGTTAAATGGGCTTCGCCCCTACCCGAAGAGATGCATGAAAGAAATTCTGCAAGCAAACCACTTTTTAGATTAAACACATGAATTAGGCTGTAGTTTTATTATAGAGTATCGAAGACGACATTTCTATTGAGTTGGGGGGGGGGGGCTTAGATATTCTTACGCGGGGGTGGGGCTTCGCCCCTTCCCGAAGAATTATATGGAAGAAACTCTTCATGCAAACCACTTTTAAGATTAGAAAAAAATGTTTCAATATTTACTCGAGAATCAATGATGTCATATTATTGTGTGCACTCTCAAGGCTTTCGACTATTTCCTACTATATGCTCAATGTGACGTCATGTTTCGTTTTTGTTTTACTATAAAAGTTTTTATTTTGCTTGTGTTTTCTCAATAGCGTTGTTGTCAGAAGGATAGATGGATAGATAGATAGATGGATAGACAGATGGATAGACAGATGGATAGACAGATGGATAGACAGATGGATAGACAGATGGATAGACAGATTAGATTAGGTTAGGTTAGGTTAGGTTAGGTTAGGTTAGGTTAGGTTAGGTTAGGTTAGGTTAGGTTAGGTTAGGTTAGGTTAGGTTAGGTTAGGTTAGGTTAGGTTAGGTTAGGTTAGGTTAGGTTAGGTTAGGTTAGGTTAGGTTAGGTTAGGTTAGGTTAGGTTAGGTTAGGTTAGGTTAGGTTAGGTTAGGTTAGGTTAGGTTAGGTTAGGTTAGGTTAGGTTAGGTTAGGTTAGGTTAGGTTAGGTTAGGTTAGGTTAGGTTAGGTTAGGTTAGGTTAGGTTAGGTTAGGTTAGGTTAGGTTAGGTTAGGTTAGGTTAGGTTAGGTTAGGTTAGGTTAGGTTAGGTTAGGTTAGGTTAGGTTAGGTTAGGTTAGGTTAGGTTAGGTTAGGTTAGGTTAGGTTAGGTTAGGTTAGGTTAGGTTAGGTTAGGTTAGGTTAGGTTAGGTTAGGTTAGGTTAGGTTAGGTTAGGTTAGGTTAGGTTAGGTTAGGTTAGGTTAGGTTAGGTTAGGTTAGGTTAGGTTAGGTTAGGTTAGGTTAGGTTAGGTTAGGTTAGGTTAGGTTAGGTTAGGTTAGGTTAGGTTAGGTTAGGTTAGGTTAGGTTAGGTTAGGTTAGATAGATAGATAGATAGATAGATAGATAGATAGATAGATAGATAGATAGATAGATAGATAGATAGATAGATAGATAGATAGATAGATAGATAGATAGATAGATAGATAGATAGATAGATAGATAGATAGATAGATACATACATACATACATACATACATACATACATACATACATACATACATACAAACATACATACATACATACATACATACATACAAACATAGACAGACAGCGAAACTATTATTATAGATATCACTATTACTGAAACTTTTTAAAATAGAATAGAATCTCGTAGAAAAAAGAATTATGCACCAAGTGAACGGCAAACAATATGTGAAGATTATTAGTACTTAACAAATTCATTTGTGTTTTTTGAGAAATCAGAAATAAATAACTACTTTCGGTCAACGGAAATTATTCAAAATTTGAAAGAAGGCAGAAAATTAGATCTTTTACTTATATTTGAAATTTTGTTTATCTATCTGAAACAATACTCAAGTTATATAGGCTTTTGAAAAACCAAAAGTAGAATAAGTCCCACTTCAGATTATCGGAAATGGCTGAAAAGTTGATACAGAACTACAAATTTGATATAATTATTATATATTATAATTATTATATTTGAAATTCCATCAACCTAGCTATAACCATGCTTAAGGTATCATGTTGAGAGACACACACACATACACACAGACAACCGGCCAAAATTGCAAAACTAAGATACCCTTTCACTTTCAGACCTAATGAACTATAGGAGATATAGAATTCATCAGTGTCTTTCATTTCAGCATTATGCCCAACGTTTTCCTCATTAGAGTAAGGTACCAAAAGTAAAGAGGGTTGAGGGAGATGAAAAACTGAATTAAGAATCTAAAGGGCATGTTAAACTTTATATTGTCGGCAACAATAATAAAACAGCATGTGAGGCAAGTACTCCTGGATAAATTCAAAATACATTTTAAAAAGTCAATAGCTGGCTCTCCTCAACTTATTTCAAACAGTAAATTCTATGCAAAAGTTAATATAATAATAACTTACCAAATCTTGTTTGCATAAAGTATCAAGCTGCAAACTGAGCATCATCAAATCTACTTTAACATCTGACAGAGACTTTTTACAACATCTCAGTGGAGCATGTAGCATAACATCAACTATAAATGAAAATCTATATTACAGCTAATCAACTATAAAAGAAAATGTATACAATAAAATAGTTTTAAAACCAGGATGTTAATTAAAGGTAGTTCAAAAATGATATTGAATTGGTATTAAAACATATCATGTATATAGATAAAAATCAAAGTATGAATCTGTGTGTCTGTCCTTTATGCATTACTACACCTTTCATTCAATCACCATGAAACTTTAGGAAGTTGTTGAGAATACTCCTATAAGCGTAATCAATAAATTAAATTTTGAAGGTGAAGCGGAATGCCCAGAGTTCTCAAGTGATTATCCTAGCACCTAGAGAGCTTTGACTGATTGCCGTGCATAGGGGGTCAGAGGTACTACTTGATTCAACTGTCAAACTGTACCATATGCATCAGCTGGCGACCCAGTGAGAACACCGGTGTCTATGTTGGTTTTAAATATGATGGACTACATGAGAGATAACTGAATGGAATCAGGCGCATCTGCCAGCGCTATGACAATCGGGTGACAGGGAACACCAGGACTTCCCCTTGAGCACTATGGTGCCTAAATTTATTTTAAAGAGCAACCTAAAACTACTGACATTACATACAATGACTAAACCAATGACTAAAATGCCTGATGCCCCAATTCTTATCAGAAGCCTTCCTTACATCCTTAGATGTTCATCATTATGATTACATACCACATAACTTTGCTCTGTTAGTATAACTTGCTTACGATATCAGCACAAAATAATACAATATCCTGTTGGCAATCTTAGAATATCAAGTATTGTAAGATTGAATTGTTAATTTTATTTCACAAGTGTTAGTATTTACCTTTAAAAACAGAATCATATTGACCAGGTAAAACCAAAGGTTGTTGCATTGAAACAGCCATGCTACACCTCCACATTAGGTGGTTCTCTATTAACCACACTAAAAGTAAATGAAATAAATATTAAAAAGTAGCTATTACAATTCACTGTTAACATTAATTTTAAACTTCAGAAGGATCATGTACAAAGTGCCTAACACACACATATATAATATTTGTATGTTTATATATATGTGTGTGTGTATATATATATATACATATATAATATAAGAGTAGTGTGTCAGTCCTTCCTACCATTGTCGCTATAGATTTTGGAACCATAAAAGTTAACTTCAACCATAGAGTTTAAATTGCACTGCATTGTCTTATTATAAGTAATAGAGCAGCGCTTGTTTATATAACGACTTAAAACTTTTTGTATAGTTGCCACAGTTTTTACTTTTTTGCATAACGTAAACAAACTATTAAATACACGCACATTGCATAAACATATTAAACTTATTGCTTAGAAAAAACTAATTAATCAAAATGTTTAATAATTATGCCAAGGGAGGTAATTTTAAAAGAAATTAAACTAACACTAATAGAAAGATGTTAATGTAAATTATGCAGATGTCCAAGCGGACATTATTGTTGGATTATTATAATTAGCATGGATTGAATAAGTGCACTGTGGTAGGTAAAACATGGATATTTTCAGTACTGCCTTTTGTTTATTTTATGGATAAGTTGGGGTATTTATAGTTGTTTACTAAATTGAATCAGGCGGTTCGGCCGGCGCTCCGGCAGGGTGCAATTTGGCACATCGGGCTAGACTGTGAGCACTATGTGTTTATGTTTGCATTTAAGTTGTGTTTATGTTATGCGTGTTGCGTTATGTTTTCGTTTGTTATTTTGCATTTGTGTTTGCATTGTGTTTGCCTTTGTTTTTTCTTTTGTGTTTGAGACTTGCATTTATGTTTTCGATTGTGTTTTTTTGCGTTTGCATTGTTTTAGTTTCCGTTTTCTTTTGTGTTTGTGTGTTTTGTTCTGTTCCCAAGTTGGTACATTTAAAAAAGATTCACGGGTATACAGCTAGTATATATATATATAGGCCCATATATATATATAATTAAAAATGTAATAAATAAATAAAAAAACGTTAAAATACAAAAAAAGTAATAATTTTCCACACATTGAAAAAGGTGCATGTGTGCACCGTCACAAAAAAGCACTATATATATATATATATATATATATATATATATATATATATATATATATATATATATATATATATATATATATATATATATATATATATATATATATATATATATATATATATATATATATATATATATATATATATATATATATATATATATATATATATATATATATATATATATATATATATATATATATATATATATATATATATACATACACACATACATATATTAATCTCTTGTAACATAAGCTTAAATTATTATAAAATTAAATAAAAGAAACAAATAATAGAAGGGGAAAACATACCATAACCACAAACCACACATCGACTTAAACCAAACCATAATGTTGTTTAAATATTGATGAGCTGATTTAAGGAAAGCAGATCCTACATAATTTTTTATTCTTCTCATATTGGGTGAATACAAAGTTGGTATTTTTACAAAATACTATTAAAACGTTGGACACAGCAAATACTTCAGACTACGACAATACTATAAAAATACAGCTTACTTAAAAGATATTTTTTTAAACGACATTAATTTTAACTTAATTTATGCTTATTCGAACTTTCCAATCTACATACTTAAAATGAAAGTATGTTGATCTGTGTGTATGTCCTTTATGCATTGCTACTCCTTTCATCATATAAGCATGAAACTAAGGGGAGTTAAAGCTAATTAGAAAATTATTTTATTTTTATTAGTCAGATGCGCTTTGGCTACCACAGCACTTGGTGTCCATTGATTGGGTCCCTGCTTAGAGGATCAGAGGTACTGCTTGAATAAAATGTAAAACTATACAGGCATATCTGCCAGATAAAACAAACAAGACACGTCCATCAGTGCCTTTGCAGGCTTCCATGTGAGAACTACGGTTTTAAATAGGACGCTACAATAGGGACACGGTAGGTTACTACATCCGATGACTAAACTGAACCTAAAGACGCAACCAGCACCTTTTGGTAGGATATTATGAGAGCACCCCATAACTCCCTTGATTCATGTACAGTCGCTGAGATATGTTCTACCTCACTATTATGCAGGGTGATTAATGTTAAGTACACTGTACTGTAGGTGTACATACCACACATCTACAAGCATTTTAGGCAGGAGTATAAACCAAATTGCCCCCCCCCCCACCCAACATCTAAGGTCTAACATAGCATTGTTGACACGTAAAAAAAAAACAGTTTTAGAAAAAAAGGTTGAACATTTAAAAATACATTAATGGTAAATCATTGCTGAAATCCTCTTAAAATTTTGTGTGAGCCTGCAACAACGCACTGGACAAGCACGTTAGTATGTAGTAAATAGGACTAAATGTTATTAGCCAATTCGACACAAATAAAAAAATTTGATTTTTTTCCTGTGACTATTTGCTACCTTTGATGGAAGGGAAGTGGTACTGATTCCTCTTAGATCTACACCCAATCGTAATATTATCACTATAAATGTAACACTTCTAATCCCTTTGTGATTCTGCCACCTCCAACACAACAAAAGTTAGGATTCTTAATTCAAATGTCAAGGCAGTTTTAATGGAGCAGAGACATAAAGTGTCACAGAGACCAGCACAAACAAGATCCAGACCCTCATTAACAAATGTCACAGAGAGATTCTGAAATTGAGGAGGCAGGACAAAGTGCCTAACATAGACTTGTGAAAAAGGAGAAGGCAGTAACTCTTGATAGTACAAATAAGTAGGAAGTAACACTGCAAAAGGCTCACTCAAATGTGACATGCCAGGAGCTTGAGTGGAGCCCCCAAGGAAGGCTAAATACCTGGAGTTTTCTTAAATAACTGAACACAGCAGGGGTGCCTTGGGAGACTGAAATCAACAGCTGGGCTCTAGACAAAATGGAAGGTTATGGTTGAGGCTTTATGCTCCACAAGGAGTAACAAAGATTAAGTCAATCCCTAAATAGGTAATATTACAGTACTGCTCTTAGATCTTAGCCAAGCATAGCATGTTAGGGATAGCATCTTATGTATTTTATGGCTAGGATTTTGGACCCTTACGCAAAAATTATCAGTGGGCCCCTTTGTCAACCATTAGGCTACAAGAGAATTAAATGTGGGCAGATAAAAAAAACAACTACTACCAATGAGAGAAGGGTTTACAATAATATAATCTGTACATTTTGTATTTTATACATCCTTATTGTACATTTATAATGTATTATTATGTAGTACCCCGTAACATAGACATAAGCTATTTTTATTGTATATCACTTCTATGTGAAAAAATAATTTAACTGTAAGACTTAGTAACCAAACAAAGTAATGTCACAAGGGTGAATGAGGGGTGCCATCTGTATCTGGTGACAACCATTTAGGTAGGTGACATTGTGACCAAAACAGTTGTAATTTTATGTCATAACAATGTTTTATCCACTTCAAATATTAAAATAGTAGGGGGGGAGGGGTGACACCAAAAATTCTTGGAGGAAGGTGGGGGACACCCTAGATAATGCAAAGTCTGGTGATGCAACTAATCAAAGACAATATTTCAAAAACTCAATGTTTATTTTGCTTGTATTTTCTAGCTTTTAGTGTTTCCACATACAAGTTCCTTGTGATCCATTTAAGCTTTTTTTGAATGTTCTATATTTAAGATAGCCAAATTAATTATTAATGACATAAATGGCATATCTACAATTTGTTACATCATCATAATGAGCAAATAATGAGAATGATCAAGGATTTTTATTTTATAACTCGCGTTGCTGCTGTCTAGTCCTACACACTAGAGTGATGAAACATTTTGTTAGGGTTTTATCAACAATTAACCAATGGTATTTTTTAGACATAGTTTTCTAAAACTGACGATTTCAAATGTAAACAATGTTGCCAATATATTTATCAGATCTTCGTATGTTTGGTTGTTTGTTCAGAGGCGAAGCGACCCTTCTCGGCGCCGGGGACAAACTTTCGATTTGCACCCCCCCTCAAACTTTCAATTAGGCGCCCCCTAAGGTCAGCGCCCGGGGACATATGTCGTCCCCCCCCCTCGCTACGCCTCTTTGTTCACATTTAAGTTTAGATGCCACAGGGTGTGCTGGATGAAATCCTTGAGTATAACCGGGTGTCAGGAGCATTGTGGTGTGCTCCCCTGTACTAGGGTTCTCCCTTGTGTGATGGTGGGGTAGGCAATATCCCCGGCCGTTGAGGTTTTTGGCGAAGTTATTTGTATGTACATCTACAGGAACCAGATCCCCAAGTTACAGTTTAATAACATTACATGACATTGATGCACTCACAAAAAAGCATGTTTTGTATCTGTATTTAAGTTGTCAGTTAAGTGACACCCAGCAACACCTTTTCTGTAGGCTAACTCCCTCAATAATTATACATGCAGTTTTTCATAGGGAACAGGGCCCCTATGTTCCGTGGCCCCTATGCGTGCTTATGCCAGCTTTAAAGTAGCTATGTTGCTTAGTATTCTTTAAAACACTAGATTGTGTGTGTACCAGTCATCAATGTGTAAAATGAGGATTATTTAATGAAGAACACTTTGTCCAATGAGGCCTGATAGCTTGTAACATATGAAAGTGTGTACACAGCACAAACTGTTAAAGAAATAACAACTAATAAATTCTACTTTTTTTTTAATTCATCTAAAAACAAGACTAGGTATTTTGTAGATTAACCCTTTATCTACTGACGGTACTTATAAGTACCACTTTAATCAAGTACCTGTATTATTTTTAATTTAATAAGAATTTTAAAAATTATTGATGTAATTAATAGTATTATCTCCCCTGAGTTGCCGGTAGTTGGAGGGATCAGTGTTTTTTGACAATTTCTGGTGTGGCGTTATTTTCAATGTCTTGTTGTATCCGTAGTTTACAATTTTTCTCACACACATCCCGGAATTCCTTTTGTTTTACCTTATTTTTCAAGGTTTCAACCCCAAATATTTTTTATTGGCACTTTCAATAATCAGGCAAATGTGTTTAGCTTCTAGTTGTACAATTTTAATAAAAATGTCTTTGTATTAGATCGATGTTAACTAGTGGACTTATAAGTACCGTCAGGGCACACTGTCATTTTTTTTAAGGATTTATCGGAAATAGCTGATTTTCGATGTGGAGTGACATAAATAACATTTTGATAATTAATTACCGAAATGTACTCAAAATGATATTTACACATTTATAAGAACAACTTCATTTAAGGTCAATACCTCGGTGAATTATTTTTTGCTCGGCTTCAATGAGTATACAGCCCTCCCCCTCTTCTCTACCTCATTTTTAAAAATAATTACTAACGCAGTTGGGGTAAAAAATGTAACGTTTGAGTCAAGAAAGGGAGTGGGTGGTATTGAAACAAAGCAGCTGTTTCTTTAATAGTAAAAATAAATTATACAGGAAATGTGTAATCTCATTACTTAATTAATTAGTTCATTTAATTATCACTAAAGAAAATAAAGGGAGATAGCTTATTTCTTTAGTTTATTAGTTTAAATGTATTAAGCATGACACACTATTAAATATATTATTGTTTTGAGTTTATATTTAACTCAATGCAACAAACCCGCCTGTTGGTAGAGGCCACACCAGGGGTTCGTTCTGCTACGTAATAAAGCTAAATTACTTTACAACAATACAATATATGTTTGTGGCAGCAGACATCCACTGTGTTTCACACAAAAGAAATAAGTTGATCAATCGTCAGCGGTATTTCGGGCAGTTTTGAACAAGGTGGTATTTTAAGTCGACACAAAAGATGGTGAAGTTGACAAATCATCAGAATATCTAGCAACAGTGTAAACGAAACGTCTTTGATGAAGTCTGCATCAAATTAATTTAAATATCACTGTAAATTGGTCGCGATAAAATTTTCGCAGATTCTTCGCATCCTACCACCACCCTGTGTAAGTATTGGGTGGTGGTAAAATGCGAGGCAAAAATGTCATGTGACAGGCGGTTTTCTGGCCCTTCTCGCAGTTTACCGCCTTGTCATTTCGCCTTGCAATTTCCCAACACCCTCTATTTTATTGTGACTGGGGAGTTAGGTATAGAATATAGATAAAGAGAGCAGTGCAAAATCTGGTGAAAACATCGCTAGTCTTTTTTTATTACTGGAAAGTTTTAATACAATTTTTTAAAACAGGTAGGTAGATCTACAATCTACCTACATGAATGAAACTTTGAAACATTTTTGTAACTTTCAAAACATAAATCTTCCTTAAAATGTGAAATAATATTTAGCGTAATAATATTAGGTTAGGGCAAATTAGATTAGCCCTACTAAAATTTAATGGCACCTTCTTTTTACATTACTAGCCTCGGCCGATTTTAACGTACCTAACTTCTAAATTCTAAAGCGATAGATTACACTAATAAATTAATAATAGATCTAGAATCTAGATCTAGACATCTAGAATCTAGATCTAGACTAGATCTAGATCTAGATCTAGATCTAGGTAAAATCTTAGTTTAGCGTCGTAAATTCGGCCAAAACTAGACTAGTAATGTGGGAGAGAGTGAATTAATAAATATGTCATTAAATATAGATCTAGGCCCTAGGCCTTAAGTATATTTTCGTATATTTTGATAAAATATTATAGATAATTGAATAACAGATCACCATTTATGGTTAAATCAATTTAGATCTAAATATCCTGAAATTAATTTTTATCAACCCTGTTCGAGATAAAAACAGCAGCCATCTTAAGAAAATGTTATTTAGAGTAGCTTCCCTTTCATTTCTATTCGTAAGAAAATGTATTTAAATATGATTGTCTTGTTGTATAGTCCGTATTACACAGCATTTTTTTTTTTTAATTCTGCCCTTTAAAAACTGAATTTCCTAACAAACAACTTTATTAATTCTAGAAGCATTGCGAGATGCAACTTGTATCCATGTATTAAATCATGTTTTTTTTTTACTAATGTTTATTTGATCTTACTATTACTATATAGTTTGAGTTTTTGCCTATTGTTTGAATGTTCACTATTTTTATTCCCACGTTTTCTTTAACTTGCTTTCTCTGTGTCTTTCTGTGTTTGTTTGTCTTTCCAATCAAATCTTGCGATCGAAATTTCTGGCACTTCCCAGTTAGCTAGCGCGCTGAAATTTTCAG